CACACATTCTAAAATATACTGTACATACCGGTATGGAGAAACCGGTATGTATATAATGCATTCGGAAAGTATTCAGACCCCTTCCTTTTTTCCACATTTTGTTACGTTACAGCCTTATTCTAAAATTGATTAAATTATTATTTTTCCTCATCAATCTACACACAATACCCCATAATGAAAAGGGAAAACAGGTTTCTAAATTCTTTAAAAAATGTATGAAAATAAAAATTACAGAAGTATTCAAACCCTTTGCTATGAGACTCGACATTGAGCTCAGGTGCATCCTGTTTCCATTGATCATCCTTGAGATGTTTCTACAACTTGATTGGAATCCACCTGTGGTAAATTAAATTGATTGGACATGATTTAGAAAGGCACACACATGTCTATATAAGGTCCCACAGTTGACAGTGCAACTTTTTGGAAGCGAACCACTCGATTTCGTCCCTACGTTATATCGGCATCGAACATCAAATCAAATGTTATTTGCCACATGCGCCGAATACAACAGGTGTAGACATGACCATGAAATGCTTACTTACAGCCCTTAACCAACAATGCATTTATTTTTTAATAAAAAAGTCAAATAAAACAACAACAACAAAAAAGTGTTGAGAAAAAAAGAGCAGAAGTAAAACAAAATAACAGTAGGGAGGCTATATACAGGGGTTACCTGTGCAGAGTCAATGTGCGGGGGCACCGGCTAGTTGAGGTAGTTGAGGTAATATGTACATGTGGGTAGAGTTAAAGTGACTATGCATAAATAATTAACAGAGTAGCAGCAGCGTAAAAAGATGGGGTGGGGGTGGGGGGGGGGGCGGTGCAAATACTGTAGTCCGGGTAGCCATGATTAGCTGTTCAGGAGTCTTATGGCTTGGGGGTAGAAGCTGTTGAGAAGCCTTTTGGACCTAGACTTGGCGCTCCGGTACCGCTTGCCGTGCGGTAGCAGAGAGAACAGTCTATGACTAGGGTGGCTGGAGTCTTTGACAATTTTGAGGGCCTTCCTCTGACACCGCCTGGTATGGAGGCCCTGGATGGCAGGAAGCTTGGCCCCAGTGATGTACTGGGCCGTACGCACTACCCTCTGTAGTGCCTTGCGGTCAGAGGCCGAGCAGTTGCCATACCAGGCGGTGATACAACCAGTCAGGATGCTCTCGATGGTGCAGCTGTATAACTTTTTGAGGATCTGAGGACCCATGCCAAATCTTTTCAGTCTCCTGAGGGGGAATAGGCTTTGTCGTGCCCTCTTCACGACTATCTTGGTGTGTTTGGACCATGATAGTTTGTTGGTGATGTGGACAACAAGGAACTTCAAGCTCTCAACCTGTTCCACTACAGCCCCGTCGATGAGAATGGGGGCGTTTTTCTTGTAGTCCACAATCATCTCCTTTGTCTTGGTCACGTTGAGGGAGAGGTTGTTATCCTGGCACCACACGGCCAGGTCTCTGACCTCCTCCCTATAGGCTGTCTCATCGTTGTCGGTGATTAGGCCTACCACTGTTGTGTCGTCGGCAAACTTAATGATGGTGTTGGAGTCATGCCTGGCCATGCAGTCATGGGTGAACAAGGAGTACAGGAGGGGACTGAGCATCCATCCCTGAGGGGCCCCCGTGTTGAGGATCAGCATGGCAAAAGTGGTGTTGTTACCTACCTTTACATTTACATTTTCGTCATTTAGCAGACGCTCTTATCCAGAACGACTTACAAATTGGTGCATTCACCTTATGAGAGCCAGTGGGACAACCACTTTACAATATATATATTCGTCGGGGGACGGTAGAAGAGAGCCAGTGGGACAACCACTTTACAGTATATATATTTGTCGGGGGACGGTAGAAGGATTACTTTTATCCTTTCCCAGGTATTCCTTAAAGAGGTGGGGTTTCAAGTGTCTCCGGAAGGTGGTGAGTGACTCCGCAGTCCTGGCGTCGTGAGGGAGCTTGTTCCACCATTGGGGTGCCAGAGCAGCGAACAGTTTTGACTGGGCTGAGCGGGAACTGTGCTTCCGCAGAGGGGCCAGCAGGCCAGAGGTGGATGAATGCAATGCCCTCGTTTGGGTGTAGGGACTGATCAGAGCCTGAAGGTACGGAGGTGCTGTTCACCTCATAGCTCTGTAGGCAAGCACCATGGTCTTGTAGCAGATGCGGGCTTCAACTGGAAGCCAGTGGAGTGTGCGGAGGGGCGGGGTGACGTGAGAGAACTTGGGAAGGTTGAACACCAGACGGGCTGCAGCGTTCTGGATGAGTTGTAGGGGTTTAATGGCACAGGCAGGGAGCCCAGCCAACAGCGAGTTGCAGTAATCCAGACGGGAGATGACAAGTGCCTGGATTAGGACCTGTGCCACTTCCTGTGTAAGATAGGGTCGTACTCTGTGAATGTTGTAGAGCATTAACCTACAGGATCGGGTCACCGCTTTGATGTTAGCGGAGAACGACAGGGTGTTGTCCAGGGTCACGCCAAGGTTCTTTGCACTCTGGGAGGAGGACACAACGGAGTTGTCAACCGTGATGGCGAGATCATGGAGCGGGCAGTCCTTCCCCGGGAGGAAGAGCATCTCCGTCTTGTCGAGGTTCAGCTTGAGGTGGTGATCCGTCATCCACACTGATATGTCTGTCAGACATGCAGAGATGCTATTCGCCACCTGGTTATCAGAAGGGGGAAAGGAGAAGATGAATTGTGTGTCGTCTGCGTAGCAATGATAGGAGAGACCATGTGAGGATATGACAGAGCCAAGTGACTTGGTATATAGAGAGAATAGGAGAGGGCCTAGAACTGAGCCCTGGGGGACACCAGTGGTGAGAGCACGTGGTGTGGAGACAGATTCTCGCCACGCCACCTGGTAGGAGCGACCTGTGAGGTAGAACGCAATCCAAGAGTGAGCCGCGCCGGAGATGCCCAACTCGGAGAGGGTGGAGAGGAGGATCTGATGGTTTACAGTATCAAAGGCAGCAAATAGGTCTAGAAGGATGAGAGCAGAGAAGAGAGAGTTAGCTTTAGCAGTGCGGAGAGACTCCGTGACACAGAGAAGAGCAGTCTCAGTTGAATGACCAGTCTTGAAACCTGACTGGTTTGGATCAAGAAGGTCATTCTGAGAGAGATAGCAAGAGAGTTGGCTAAAGACGGCACGCTCAAGAGTTTTGGAGAGAAAAGAAAGAAGGGATACTGGTCTGTAGTTGTTGACATCAGAGGGAACGAGTGTAGGTTTTTTGAGAAGGGGTGCAACTCTCGCTCTCTTGAAGACGGAAGGGACATAGCCAGTGGTCAAGGATGAGTTGATGAGCGAGGTGAGGTAAGGGAGAAGGTCTCCGGAAATGGTCTGGATAAGAGAGGAGGGGGCGGCCCGTCAGGAAGTCCAGGATCCAGTTGCAGAGGGAGGTGTTTAGTCCCTGGATCCTTAGCTTAGTGATGAGCTTTGAGGGCACTATGGTGTTGAACGCTGAGCTGTAGTCAATGAATAGCATTCTCACATAGGTGTTCTTCTTGTCCAGGTGGGAACGGGCAGTGTGGAATGCAATAGAGATTGCATCATGTGTGGATCTGTTGGGGCGGTATGCAATTTTTTGGGGGGGCCTTGTCGGGTGTCTGTAGGATATCCTTTGCGTCCGACTCGTTGAAGAACAAATCTTCGTCCAATACGAGGTGAGTAATCGCTGTCCTGATATCCAGAAGCTATTTTTGGTTATAAGAGACGATGGCAGAAACATTATGTACAGAATAAATTACAAATAATGCGAAAAAACACACATAATAGTACAATTGGTTAGAGGGCTGTAAAACGGCAGCCATCTTCTCCGGCGCCATCTCATCTAGGAGAGGGGGTGACCTCGACAACTTATTGTCCCCTGTAGCTCAGTTGGTAGAGCATGGGGCTTGCAATGCCAGAGTTGTGGGTTTGTTTCCCACGGGGGGCCAGTATGAAAAATGTATGCACTCACTAACTGTAAGTTGCTCTGGATAAGAGCGTCTGTTAAAATGACTAAATGTAAAACGAGAGGCTGCCTGGATCTTTAATTTAAAGACCCTTGCTCCCTTCGGTCTCAACGTAGACTTTGATTTGAAGCCATTCTTGTGATTGTGATTTTGCTATTCATTGTACATGTTTGCTGACCTATGTAGCCAAGTTGTATCTATGATCGTATGCTATCTATTCATGTTTTTTGTATGTTCTGTTTATCTGTGAATTAACCAATGCGATCAGGCCACACCCGGCCATGATTACAAACACCTGTGTGTGTCCTTTGACACTATATAAACTAGTGACCCGCAGTGTTTGTCAGTATGCCCTGATGAAGACAGCTTGTCTGTCGAAACGTTGGTTATTAGGTTATTAAATTATTGCATCTGAGCTCCTAGAGTGTGCGGCTTTCCTTTTCTTTTTCAAGAGCAAAAACCAAGCCATGAGGTCAAAGGAATTGTCCGTAGAGCTCCGAGACAGGATTGTGTCGAGGCACAGATCTTGGGAAGGGTACCAGACATTTCTGCAGCATTGAAGGTTCCCAAGAACACAGTGGCCTCCATCATTCTTAAATGGAAGAAGTTTGGAACCACCACGACTCTTCCTAGAGCTGGCCGCCCGGCCAAACTGAGCAATCGCAGGAGAAGGGCCTTGGTCAGGGAGGTGACCAAGAACCCAATGGTCACTCTGACAGAGCTCCAGAGTTCCTCTGTGGAGATGGGAGAACCTTCCAGAAGGACAACCATCTCTGCAGCACTCCACCAATCAGGCCTTCATGGTAGAGTGGCCTGACAGAAGCCACTCCTCAGCTAAAATGTCTAAAAACCTGTTTTTGGTTTGTCATTATGGGGTATTGTGTGTAGATTAATGGAGAGAAAAAACAATCAATTTTAGAATAAGGCTGTAACGTAACAAAATGTTGAAAAAGTCAAGGGGTTTCTCATTTTGTAAGAAAAAAATATTCCCATGTGCTGGTCCTCTCCAGTGGATGGCTCAATCTGACATGCCAATACTGTTAGTTCAAGAAGAGGTTGTTTTAAATTGCCTATATGTTGATGATGATGATGATGATGATGATGATGATGATGATGGCTTTTGCAGAATATACCATATTGGTTGAAGCATCTGTACATGGAGGAGGAGGATGAGGAGGTGGAGAAGGACGTGGAGGAGAGGAGGAGGAGTTGGGCAGGAGGTGGAGGAGGTGGTGATGGTGGAGTGGGGTTGCTGTATTCCATCAGAGCTGTATTCCATCTAGTCAAAACCCTAGCTGACTGAGTGAATGGGGAACATGAAAGCCATGTTGTCTTTAGACAGATACATTATATTGTTCTCATAGAGCAAGATTGTTTTCACAGTCTCTGTTACATACAACATGAAAATCAACAAACAATCCGATACATCACAGAAACACCAAACGTGTTTGCTTATTTCTTTCTTTAAGCAATGGCATTTTTCTGGCCACTCTGCCGTAAAGCCCAGCTCTGTGGAGTGTATGGCTTAAAGAGGTCCTATGGACAGATACTACAATCTCCGCTGTGGAGCTTTGCAGCTCCGTCAGGGTTGTCTTTGGTGTCTTTGTTACCTCTGATTAATGCCCTCCTTGCCTGGTCCGTGAGTTTTGGTGGGCGGCCCTCTCTTGGCAGGTTTGTGGTGCCATATTCTTTCCATTTTTTAATAATGGACTTAATGGTGCTCCGTGGGATGTTCAAAGTTTCTGATATTTTTTATAACCCAACCCTGATCTGTACTTCTCCACAATTTTGTCCCTGACCTGTTTGGAGAGCTCCTTGGTCTTCGCGGTGCCGCTTGCTTGGTGGTGCCCCTTGCTTAGTGGTGTTGCAGACTCTGGGGCCTTTCAGAACAGGTGTATATATACTGAGATCATGTGACACTTAGATTGCACACAGGTGGACTTTATTTAACTAATTATGTGACTTCTGAAGGTAATTGGTTGTACCAGATCTTATTTAGGGGCTTCATAGCAAAGTGGGTGAATACATATGCACGCACCACTTTTCCGTTATTTATTTTTTAGACTTCTTTGTAACAAGTAATTTTTTTCATTTCACTTCATCAATTTTGACTATTTTGTTTATGTCCATTACATGGAATCCAAATAAAAATCAATTTAAATTACAGGTTGTAATGCAACAAAATAGGAAAAACGCCAAAGGGGGATGAATACTTTTGCAAGGCACTGTACCTTCAAGCCCCTCTGACACCAACTCTGTTGTATTTGACCTTGAGAAATCAACAAATGAGAATTGTGATCAGTTCTTCCCTGTTAATTGGATGATGTCTGATGCATGTCTGATGCCTCGAGTTCTGATTATCATTTTGGATTTTCTACTTTTGCAGCATCCCAACACCTCTAATAAACCATAGTTGAATAATGAATTAACATCTAATGAATGAATTTGTTTTCATTTGTGACCACAGAATGATGATGTCTGAGTTCTGTAGCAGACTTTACTGTTAATTGGGAGATTCTTCATTATTCTGCTCTTTTGACCTCGTTGTGTATTTTTCTATTTTTAATGCTTCCCAACACCTCTGATAAACCATATTTGAAGAAATTGATTTCCATTGAATGCATTTGCTTTTATTTGTGATGACACGGACCGATTGTTCCTGTGTGAAGATTTGCAAGAGTGTTCATCAGTCATCACGCTGGTCTCTTGTGTAGACTGGATGAATACGAGTGTGACCCAAATGGCACTCTATTCCCTTTATAGTGCACTACTTTTGACCAGGGCGCGCACACACACGCACACTAATCTCGGCACCCAGACCCAAATGAGTGTCAAGACTGGGTCATGAGAGACTTAGTTTCGTACATTAGAAGCCTTCTGAGGCTATGAGTAAATTTGTCTTAGTGATATATAAAAAGGTTATATACACACTGTACCCACACACACGCACACACACACACACCCTCCCCCCTTCATTCACTGCCTCCTGTGCCCATCTCCTGCTGGTAAGAGACTGTGTGAAGATCAAGGACATTCAGAAAGCTATTTCATCCTCAGCACGGTCTCCAGAGCAGGATGGTTCACTGCATCTACGTCCCAAATGGCACCCTATTTCCCATTCCCCTATGGGCCCTGTTCAAAAGTAGAGCAAGGAATGGGGTGCCATTTGGTACGCAGATTGTATCTCAGAGGGGTATCTGCGGAGGACGGACTCACAGCACAAAATGGCAGAGGAAACATTCATTGACCACTTAAACCCGCTGGACAAACAATACAGGATTAGACTTTAGGCAGCTAGGTCAACATTTTGACTGCATCCCAAATGGCACCCTATTCCCTATATAGTGCACAACTTTTGAACAGGGCCCATAAGGCTTTGGTCAAAAGAAATGCACTATGTAAGGAATAGGGTGCCATTTGGGACGCATCCCTTGTCTGTCCAGCTCTGGGGATCAGAGAGTCCGATTGATGTCTCCTCCATTTCCTGTTCAGTATAAATGCTCTCTGGTACTAAATGGTAGTAAATCTGCAACAAGTGGTCCCACTGATACAATGTGATTTCTTTGCCTTTTCATTAATGACAGTGATGTCACATAGCCTTCGTTTTGTAGTACCAGTACAACAATTAGTTGTACATAAAATTCATGGTAAGGGCTACATTAATCAAATCTGAATATGAATATGAATGAGCATCTAACTGAGAGAAAATTATTCTATCTAAGGGCTAGATTCAATCCGTATCACGGAAGTTCAGCGCTATAGCACGATTGAAATTTAAAGGTAATGTTCCCACGTTCGCTGAGACTGCATTCACGGTAAACGCTGCATATGTCGGCTCAATCGGAAATGACCTTTAAAAATGTAATTGCGCTACAACGCTGAACTTCCACGATATGGATTGAATCGAGCCCTAAGTATTCTCCCTGAAAAATTGCTGCTGTTATTTTGAACTTGGTCTGACCTTTCTTGACATGGTAGAATGACTCAACAGCAACCCTCTTACTCTGGTTGTTGTCTGCAGATTACTGTTGAGTGTGAGAGGATAGGATGAGAGGGAAGGGGAGGGGAGGACAGGAGAGGAGACTAGAGGAGGGGAGGAGGAGAGGGGAGGAGAGGAGAGGAGAGGAGGCAGGAGCAGAGGAGAGAACACATGAGAAGAGAGCAGAGGAGAGGGGGAGAGGAGAGCAGAGGAGAGGAGGGAGGTGTAGGAGAGGGGAGGAGAGCGGAGAAGAGGGGAAGAGGAGGAGAGGAAAGGAGGGGGGAGGGGAGTAGAGGACGGGAGAGGGTTCAGCCTTAGACAGTCAGGCAGGAAGAAGTGTTTTCATTCACCACTGCTCTGCTCTGTCTGCCCACCTGGCTGCTCTGATGGGAAACATTTGGAGACAGTCAAGCATGGTCCAGAAACATCTGTGGCCGTTCCTTATGTAAAGGGCTTCTCTCTCTCTCTCTCTGGTTTAGTAACAGGTTTCTGGAGGATACTGACACACTGAGATCAATAATCATTTTCTTTCTATGAGCTCTGACATGTTTGTAATGTTGCCATTTGACTTATTGTTTGGAGAAGCTCTCTGAGAAGCTCTGATTGTCGGTTGATGAAAAATGTATAAGCTGGTTGCTGGTTGATCAAAATGATGTTGAATGAATTTGTTTATTTATCACTTAAAGGAAATAAGAGGTTCCAATAGCTAATGCCTCTGGTTAATTTATATGAGCGTTGATCTCATGTTTATAATGTTGCCATTGACTTATTGCTGACAACCAAGAGGGACTTTGAGAATAGGGAACCACCTGGTGCTAGACTGCAGGTGCTGGGGTCACAGCAAGGCCACGTCCCTGTCCTCCATCCTCCGCCCTGCACTAGGAAAGAACTGTAAGCCTCCCGCAATCCCGTTATGCCCAGTCTTTATACCCAGTCTGCTGCTGCTCCAACCAACTCCAACACACACTATGGGAGAATCTGTAAGAAATGCTATTTTTATAAATAGCTTATTGCTATTACATTGCTATAACTAATTCCTTTTTCCAAGACAAGTGTTGACCACACACACACTCTTGCCACAAATGCACTCACACACACAGACTCACTCAAGATAAGAGATGACTAAACGCACACACCAAATCTCCTACTTTGCTGAAACATTCGGAACAAAGGCCCTGAGCTACAGTGTGTAAATCTCCTAGACCCAATCACAGAGGACGACGCCCGAGCAGCATGGACCAACCAGAAGACCAGATCTGCTAGACTCAACCCACTTTACAAATAGTATAAAACACCAGTGTACTGTTTTTTGGCGCTTTTTCTGGAGGTTCCCTATGAGCTGAAAGAACGAGACCGTGCACGTTTTGTACCAGACATTTTTACTCTGAATAAACTGCCGCTTGTCATACAATTTACCACCTAGTCTGAATCGATCATTGACCGGCTCTCCCTTCTCATATCCCGTTATTAACAAATCTAAATAGCATACTCCTCTCGTCCTCTCTCCTCACCTCCTCAAAACCCATTGGGTGAGCCAGAGGTCACTCCCCTCTGACTTTTTCCTACAATGGGTTTTGAGAAGAAGGCGGGGGGGGGAGTGAGGAGAGAGGACTCGAGGGGTATGCAATTGAGATTCTCCCATAGAGATAGATAGAGGACTTTGTATCTGTGCCATTATAGCGTCTGTGACAGCATGGTGATTGCCAGAAAAAGTCGCTAGATTTGTCGCTAGTCGCTTTTTTGAAAATGTGTCGCTAGAGGGGTCTAAAAACTCGCTAAATATAGCGACAAAGTCGCTAAGTTGGCAACACTGATAATGACAATCTAAATAGCCTACCTACAACTGGTAAAAACTTGTCACGACATGCGCGAGTGTTGCTGTCTCCTCTCGATCACGTGACTCAGCCAATAGTGGACTAAAGGCTTCAGCATGCTTCAGTTCGGCTGGCACCTAGCCGAACTAGCCAACCGAATATCACATACTCCCTTAAAAGACCTTCACTTGAAAAACGAGCAATAGTACTGTTTGTCTATTTTGAGACGCTGTAGTCAGTATACACTTCCTCAAAATAGTCAGAATTAATCTTAAAATAACTCAAGAAATCTGTCATTAATTTTGGCGAAGATATCTTAGTCGCGCAATTTTACATCTAACTAAGATGTTTGGTGCAGTATTTTTCATGCTTCCCAGCTGAAACAGTTTGGTAGAGTTCATGCATATATTATAACATTTTGTGACGTTTTTATTCGTTTTGGACTTCGGTGAGGGTTTTTCTGACTGTTCGGACACACCACATTTTTTTCTGGAGGCATGCCGAAGTTCGGAGCTGAAGTCTACGCTCTTTCGTCGGTTATTGGTCAACAGTAGGGATTCTTTAATAAAGTCTTTGTTGTCATTCAACTAGAGATGACTTGTTTAATGCATATTTTTTCATTGAAAAATGGTGCACCAAACATCTTAGTTAGATGTAAAATTGCGCGACTAAGGTCTCTTCGGAAAAAACGTCAAAATTAATGACAGATTTCTTGAGTTATCTTAGATTAATTCTGATTATTTTGAGGAAGTGTATACTGGCTACCAGGGGCGGTGTGTTCATTAGGGCGATATGGGCGACGCACTGCCAAACGGGAAAAGGAAGGGATTTTTTTTCTAATCAATTATATCACGGCAACAGTAGTTTTCAGTGTTCTAATCTAGACGTCTGATCTGCCACTAAATGTCTAATCAGGCTAAAGTCGTGCTTCAAATGGCCCCGCCCCTTTTGGGGCGATTTCAGTCAGGTTGAAAATCGCCCAGGAGTCTCTCGTAGACTATCATGTAAAATATATATTTTTTCAAATATCAGAGCTTTCAATACAATCTCTATGGGTTCCGGGAGGGCTTGCACTTACGCGCTTTCGTCATACGTAACTTAAGTAACCATGAACATAACTAAGAAAAGAGCGGGTAGCAGCGTCAATCAATTCACGTACAACTGTCAAGATGGCTAGCTTTGCGAGGCAAAGATGAAACTGAGGGCTCCACCAACCCTGGTATTTTTCTTGGACTTGTCAACTTTGTGGCACAATTAGATGAGGTGTTTGATGACCATCTTAAAAATGCTAAAGTTTTCAAGGGCACATCAAAGACCATTCAAAACGAGCTACTGGAGTGTATGCTAGCGGTCATGAGGGAACATATTGTGGAGGAGGTGAAGTCGGCGAACTTCGTAGCTATCCAAGCTGACGAGACCACGGACGTTTCTACACAGACACAGCTGGTGCTTGTGCTGAGGTACATAGATAGCAACCACAAAGTGCAGGAGCGCTTTTTTGAGTTCCTTCCCATCTCGGAATCAACCTCAGTCTCAATCGCCAGTGTGCTTTTGGAGAGACTGAACGGTCTTTTTGCCGACGACGAGAAAGTCAAACTCATTGCGCAAGCTTACGATGGAGCCAGTGTGATGAGGTGAGAGAAGGCTGGTGTGCAGCAAAAGGTGCGTGAGCATTTCAAGAATGCCCATTACGTGCATTGCTATGCGCATCAGCTGAATTTGATCATGCAGCAAGCTAGAACAGTTTCAGTACAAGTAATGTAGCCTCTCTCTCTCTTTGTCCCTCCCTGTCTGTCTCTTTAACACACACACGCCCAAATCAGTTCACAGTTGATGTTGTTTAAAATAGTTATTTTTCATTTTAAAAAAAGTAAAAAAAAAAAAAATATCTGTTCATGTTCATTTTTACAAATCTATACAATTGGCCAGAATATGGTTGTTCATATTTACAAATCTATACAATTGGCCAGAATATGGTTGTTCATTTTTACAAAGCCATACAGATAGCTGTGTTTACCTTTTCTATAAATTATTTTCAAATTCTGTTTTCAGGCAAAATGTCTATCACTGTTCATTTTCACAAATCTATACAAGAGGGCAGAATATGGAAGTCTATAAAAATGTCTTATTACCAATAACTTGCATCAATGTTTTCAGTAGCCTCTATCTAAAGCTCCTGCTTGCTTGTTGTGAATTATGCTCAGGTGCACATATTTCCAATTCAACCATGAGGCCTTTTTGAAGCAAGTAATGTGTATATCAGTATTGACTTATATGCTGCCCCTGTCTTCATGTTGTTGCTGGACATATCTTTTAAAAAATGTGTGTAGGTCACCTAAATCATCAGAAAAATTGCCCCCCCTGAGAATTTTTTCAGGAGCCGCCACTGCTGGCTACGTGTCTCAAAATGGACAAACTATTGCCGCTTTTTTCTTGTTTTTCAAGGGAAGGTATATTAAGGGAGTATACCATCACACTTGTTCGGTTCCTCCAGCCAAGTTCAGCTAGGCGCCAGCCAAACTGAAGCATGCTGACCCCTTAAGCTGCCTGCTGTAGTGCTCTCTCAACAAACACACACCTCTCCGGCCCTCAACACCACTCACTCACTCACTCAGCAACAGCCTGCCTCACTGCCTGACAGTCAGCAGCAAGTCACAGTGAAATATATTTTTAAAGAAAAATGCCATGGCGGCCGCGGTGGAAAAACCTGCAATCCACGACCAATACATTTTCACCCACGACATTGTTTGAAAGTAGCCCAATTTGCTACAAAACTACGGACACGGCAACCCTGTCAACACCCATCAAAATATAGTTATCTTTCTTCTGATGTAACTGTCGAGACTGTGTTAAATCCCAGACGAAGCGTTCTTATAGAAAGCCAATGCATTCCATTGAGCCCATTTTAGCCATTACTGGAGTGTGTTTGACAGGTCTTTACAAACGTTTCCGCGGTCGTTACGTTAACGGGAAAAAGTGAATGGCACAGGCAAGAGTGGGAAAGAGTCACCAGAGTAAAATGAAAGCAATCAACCCAGCGAGATTTAAGTGAGAAGTGGATTTTGCACCCCTCAAACACAGAAAATATATGACTGAAACTAAGAGATCCTCGGGTGGGCGGGGCATGCGCGTTACTACTTATTACCAAAGGGACAGGGTTCCGGTCTGGAAGTATGGTTTCGACTGCACCTACAGTCTTGCTTCAGTACTGCAGTTTAACTGACATCCTGCCCAGAAAGACAATTTATGCAGTCGGCCCCATAGAGGAGTCAGATTAGAAAATGTCTAATAAGACACTTTAGTCATCACCTTTGTTCACAAAACATCCATTGAATTATATAAAAAAATGTCATGACTCATATTCATCCAATGTCACCCTGCTCCCTGTGCGCACTGCACTGAGTGCTAAACTGTGTTTGAATACCCATACTAACATACTGTATACTACAAACTTAATGAGTATATACTACAAACTATTAGTTAATTTTAGTATACTGTAAACGAACGGTATCCTTTCTGTTGAGCGTACTAGCGCTTCGCCTTGCTAGCTTGTTAGCATACCAAATGACTAGCTAGACATTTTACGATTTCGGGTGTGTTCGTAAATTAAATCTGGAGTGTCAGAGTGTGCTCTGGGCGTTCGTAATTCCAGAGCGTTGTCAGATTGTCCATTCGTAAATTCAGAGCGTTTCACTCTTGGAGCGCTCAAGAGCGCACACTGGACGCTCTGGCTGAGGAGAAGGGTTGATCGGAGCGTTCTGACCTCACAACGGCAGTCAAGTACCCAAGCTAACTGGCTAACGTTGGCTAGCTACTTCCAGACACAAATGAGAGAACACCTCACTCTGACCATTTTACTCGCCCTAGCAGAGCTGGTTAAGCTGTTTTCATGTTATCCAGAGCATTGGTGACTGTAACTGTGCGGCTGGCAACAATTTCATTACAGGTTTTTTTGCCAACGTTTACTGACACCGGCCATATTCAACGGGTGTTGAATGTTCGTAAATTCATCAGTTATTCTGCGCTCTGGCACACTCAGACGAGATGAGCGCTCTGAAATCGGAGTAGATAGCCAGAATGAAATCAAATCAAATCAAATTTTATTTGACACATGCGCCGAATACAACAGGTGTAGACATTAAAGTGAAATGCTTACTTACAAGCCCTTAACCAACAATGCCGTTTTTAAGAAAAGAAAAAAAGTGTTAAGTAAAAAATACAGTGGGGAGAACAAGTATTTGATACACTGCCGATTTTGCAGGCTTTCCTACTTACAAAGCATGTAGTGGTCTGTAATTTTTATCATAGGTACACTTCAACTGTGAGAGACGGAATCTAAAACAAAAATCCAGAAAATCACATTGTATGATTTTTATGTAATTAATTTGCATTTTATTGCATGACATAAGTATTTGATACATCAGAAAAGCAGAACTTAATATTTGGTACAGAAATTTGGTACAGATCATACGTTTCCTGTAGGTCTTGACCAGGTTTGCACACACTGCAGCAGGGATTTTGGCCCACTCCTCCATACAGACCTTCTCCATATCCTTCAGGTTTCGGGGCTGTCGCTGGGCAATACGGACTTTCAGCTCCCTCCCAAAGATGTTCTATTGGGTTCAGGTCTGGAGACTGGCTAGGCCACTCCAGGACCTTGAGATGCTTCTTATGGAGCCACTCCTTAGTTGCCCTGGCTGTGTGTTTCGGGTCGTTGTCATGCTGGAAGACCCAGCCACGACCCATCTTCAATGCTCTTACTGAGGGAAGGAGGTTGTTGGCCAAGATCTCGCGATACATGGCCCCATCCATCCTCCCCTCAATACGGTGCAGTCGTCCTGTCCCCTTTGCAGAAAAGCATCCCCAAATAATGATGTTTTCACCTCCATGCTTCACGGATGGGATGGTGTTCTTGGGGTTGTACTCATCCTTCTTCTTCCTCCAAACACGGCGAGTGGAGTCTAGACCAAAAAGCTCATTTTCTGTCTCATCAGACCACATGACCTTCTCCCATTCCTCCTCTGGATCATCCAGATGGTCATTGGCAAACTTCAGATGGGCCTGGACATGCGCTGGCTTGAGCAGGGGGACCTTGCGTGCGCTGCAGGATTTTAATCCATGACGGCGTAGTGTGTTACTAATGGTTTTCTTTGAAACTGTGGTCCCAGCTCTCGTCAGGTCATTGACCAGGTCCTGCCGTGTAGTTCTGGGCTGATCCCTCACCTTCCTCATGATCATTGATGCCCCACGAGGTGAGATCTTGCATGGAGCCCCAGACCGAGGGTGATTGACCGTCATCTTGAACTTCTTCCATTTTCTAATAATTGCGCCAACAGTTGTTGCCTTCTCAACAAGCTGCTTGCCTATTGTCCTGTAGCCCATCCCAGCCTTGTGCAGGTCTACAATTTTATCCCTGATGTCCTTACACAGCTCTCTGGTCTTGGCCATTGTGGAGAGGTTGGAGTCTGTTTGATTGAGTGTGTGGATAGGTGTTTTTTATACATGTAATGAGTTCAAACAGGTGCAGTTAATACAGGTAATGAGTGGAGAACAGGAGGGCTTCTTAAAGAAAAACTAACAGGTCTGTGAGAGCCGGAATTCTTACTGGTTGGTAGGTGATCAAATACTTATGTCATGCAATAAAATGCAAATTAATTACTTAAAAATCATACAATGTGATTTTCTGGGTTTTTGTTTTAGATTCCGTCTCTCACAGTTGAAGTGTACCTATGATAAAAATTACAGACCTCTACATGCTTTGTAAGTAGGAAAACCTGCAAAATCGGCAGTGTATCAAATACTTGTTCTCCCCACTGTAGATAAGTAAAAAATTAAAAAGAGCAAATAATTAAAGAGCAGGAGTAAAATAAATTAACAGGAGGGAGGCTATATACAGGGGGTACCGGTACAGAGTCAATGTGCGGGGCACCGGTTAGTCGAGGTAATTGAGATAATATGTACATGTGGGTAGAGTCAAAGTGACTATGCATAAATAATAAACATGGTAGCAGCAGCGTAAAAGAGGAGGATGGGGTGGGGTGGGGGGGCAATGCAAATAGTCCGGGTAGCCATGATTAGCTGTTCAGGAGTCTTATGGCTTGGGGGTAGAAGCTGTTAAGAAGCCTTTTGGACCTAGACTTGGCGCTCCGGTACCGCTTGCCATGCGGTAGCAGAGAGAACAGTCTATGACTAGGGTGGCTGGAGTCTTTGACAATTTTTAGGGCCTTCCTCTGACACCGCCTGGTATAGAGGTCCTGGATGGCAGAAAGCTTGGCCCCAGTGATGTACTGGGCCGTACGCACTACCCTCTGTAGTGCCTTGCGGTTGGAGGCCAAGCGGTTGCCATACCAGGTGGTGATGCAACCAGTCAGGATGCTCTCGATGGTGCAGCTGTAGAACTTTTTGAGGATCTGAGGACCCATGCCAAATCTTTTCAGTCTCCTGAGGGGGAATAGGCTTTGTCGTGCCCTCTTCACGACTGTCTTGGTGTGTTTGGACCATGATAGTTTGTTGGTGATGTGGACACCAAGGAACTTGAAGCTCTCAACCTGTTCCACTACAGCCCCGTTGATGAGAATGGGGGCGTGCTCAGTCCTCTTTTTAAAAATGTTTTACATTTACATTTTAGTCATGTAGCAGACGCTCTTATCCAGAGCGACTTACAGTTAGTGAGTGCATACATTATTTTTATTAATTATTTTTATTTTTCATACTGGCCCCCCGTGGGAAACAAACCCACAACCCTGGCGTTGCAAACGCCATGTTCTACCAACTGAGCTACATCCCTGCCGGCCATTCCCTCCCCTACCCTGGACGACGCTGGGTCAGTTGTGCGCCGCCCCATGGGTCTCCCAGTCGCGGCCGGCTATGACAGAGCCTGGATTCGAACCAGGATCTCTAGTGGCACAGCTAGCACTGCAATGCAGTGCCTTAGACCACTGCGCCCACAATCATCTCCTTTGTCTTGATCACGTTGAGGGAGAGGTTGTTATCTTGGCACCACACGGCCAGGTCTCTGACCTCCTCCCTATAGGCTGTCTCGTCGTTGTCGGTTATCAGGCCTACCACTGTTATGTTGTCGGCAAACGTAATGATGGTGTTGGAGTCGTGCCTGGCCATGCAGTCATGGGTGAACAGGGAGTACAGGAGGGGACTGAGCACGCACTCCTGAGGGGCCCCCTTGTTGAGGATCAGCTTGGCAGATGTGTTGTTACCTACCCTTACCACCTGGGGGCGGCCCTTCAGGAAGTCCAGGATCCAGTTGCAGAGGGAGGTGTTTCGTCCCAGGGTCCTTAGCTTAGTGATGAGCTTTGAGGGCACTATGGTGTTGAACGCTGAGCTGTAGTCAATGAATAGCATTCTCACGTAGGTGTTCCTCTTGTCCAGGTGGGAAAGGGCAGTGTGGAGTTTAATAGAGATTGCATCATCTGTGGATCTGTTGGGGCGGTATGCAAATTGGAGTGGGTCTAGGGTTTCTGGGATAATGGTGTTGATGTGAGCCATGACCAGCCTTTCAAAGCACTTCATAGCTACAGACGTGAGTGCTACGGGTCGGTAGTCATTTAGGCAGGTTATCTTAGTGTTCTTGGGCACAGGGACTATGGTGGTCTGCTCAACATTTTCTTAACATTTGTCATAATTTGTTAAAGCAATGAATTTGTATCTGCTCTCGTCGGACTTCGGCTGCATTTTTTCCGCCATTTTCTTCAAATATGACAATGTTGTGAAGCCACGCGTCTTCTTCTTCTTCTTCTTCTTCTTCTTCTTCTTCTTCTATGATATCATGGCGGCCCGCAAACAATCGTTTAAGTGCATGCTGCCACATACTGTGCTGGAATGTACGATCAATCATGATCTGCCCAATTCTGTACTACCATGAAAATACAATTCTAAACCAAATAAATCCCTAACTTTTCCTGGCAAGACTTTCTCAAACCTCAGCATCGCTGATAAGCTTTCACTTCTTTGACCCTCTTTCCTACTGACCAGACTTTTGGTCTCAATCACTCTGCCTCCCTTCACATTTTCTTTAATATCATCTGTGGACATAGATATTGGGACCCCAATGATGACTCCCCTTAACATAGCATAAGCATCAGGTACATGGCTTTTAATCTTCATCCCATTAAGTTTTTCAATTTTCAAAATCTTCCCTTGCTGAGCCTGGCTACCACACAATATTAACAATCTACCATTTCCAATGAAGCAAGCTAATTTCACTTCACCTACCTTTTTCTCTATGGCATTAGTTAGTCAGATAGGGTGTAAGTGAGTGGTCTCATCAAACACTATCATCACTTTCCACTCCAACCCATCATTACTCTTGCTTCCTACCTTGGCCCTCTTTATGCTTTCTCCACTGCTTTCTGTATCATGATCTCTGTTCTTCATATGTATTTCCACTACCGACCATTCCGGTCCTTGACCCTCATCCTCCCACTCCATACCATCAGAACTGACACCCATATTGTTCGCATTCCAGCACAGCTGTTGCTTCACCAACGTTTTCTCAATTTCTTCCATTTTGTCCGCACTACCCGCCACCATTTCCCATTAACCTCTTACCACATTTCTGCAATAGCGAAACAAGATTAAAAAATATCAAACAACTCTCACTTGTGGTCAAACAATCGGTCTCATTAGTTTCTAGTTGCACTTCTCTGCGCATGCTCTCTCCCTCCCACTGTTTACTCACAACCAACTGACTTTTTTCCGAGGTATCTGTTTGTTAAACTGGAGCTAGAGGACGAGAGAGAAGCATTGAAACTCCCCGAAGGCGTACAGTGAGGGAAAAAAGTATTTGATCCCCTGCTGATTTTGTACGTTTGCCCACTGACAAAGACTTGATCAGTCTATGATTTTAATGGTAGGTTTATTTGAACAGTGAGAGACAGAATAACAACAAAATAATCCAGAAAAACGCATGTCAAAAATGTTATAAATTGATTTTCATTTTAATGAGGGAAATAAGTATTTGACCCCTCTGCAAAACATGACTTAGTACTTGGTGGCAAAACCCTTGTTGGCAATCACAGAGGTCAGACGTTTCTTGTAGCGAAAGTGGCCAGCCAGCCAGGACGGGTTGTGCCAGCTCTCCGCTCCAGACCTCCAGTCCGCCTTCACAGTCCGGTCCGGCCCGTTCCTGCTCCTCGCACCAAGCCAGTGGTGCGCGTCGCCAGTCCGGCCCGACCTGTTCCTGCTCCTCGCACCAAGCCAGTGGTGCGCGTCGCCAGCCCGGCCCGGCCTGTGCCTGCTCCTCGCACCAAGCCAGTGGTGCGCGTCGCCAGCCCGGCCCGGCCTATTCCTGCTCCTCGCACCAAGCCAGTGATGCGCGTCGCCAGCCCGGCCCGGCCTGTGCCTGCTCCTCGCACCAAGCCAGTGGTGCGCGTCGCCAGTCCGGCCCGGCCCGTTCCTGCCCCTCGCACCAAGCCAGTGGTGCGTGTTCCTAGTCCGGTCCGGCCTGTGCCTGCTCCTCGCACCAGACCAGTGGTGCGTTTGTCCAGTCCGGCACGGCCCGTGCCTGTTCCACCGGTGCCTGGTCCGGCACCGGTCAGCTGCTCCACTCCGGAGTCAGAGCAGTCCGCTCCACCGGTGCCTGATCCAGCTCCGGTCAGCTGCTCCACTCCGGAGCCAGAGCAGTCCGCTCCACCGATGCCTGATGCAGCTCCGGTCAGCGACTCCACTCCGGAGCCAGAGCAGTCCAGCTCCGGTCAGCGGCTCCAGTCCAGACCATGACGTCAGCCCCTCTCCAGGTTCGGGGTCTCCCACACCAGGGTCCAGACAGGGCCTGGCGTATCGTGGGAGGAAGGAGAGGGGAAGCAGCGCGCCGAGGTCCAGACCAGACCAGGGGCGCAACAGGGAGGCGGAGATTGAGAGGTCATCACTCCCCGAGCCGGATCCGCCTCTGAGGCGGAATGCCCACCCGGCCCCTACCCTGTTATGATTATGTTGTGCGGTCGGAGTCCGCACCTTTGGGGGGGGGGGGGGGGGGTACTGTCACGCCCTGACTCAGGGGACGCTTAAATGTTGAGTCAGGGTGTGTATATTCTTTGTTGTGCGTTTTCTATGTTTGTGATCTAGTATGTATAGTTCTATTTTGGCCGGTGTGGTTCCCAATCAGAGGCAGCTGTCGCTCGTTGTCTCTGATTGGGGACCATACTTAGGCAGCCTATTGGCACTGTCTAGTTGTGGGATCTTGTTCCTTGTAAGGTATGTTGTGTGTGCTACCTTGGATTTCACGTTTCGTTTATGGTTTTGTCGTGGTGTTTATTCAGTTAAAATAAACATGTACGTATATCACGCTGCGCCTTGGTCTGACCCGTCATTCAACGAACGTGACAACAAGCCAGGGAATTCCCCTGCTCCAACCCAGGTCGGATGCAAGATCTCCTCTCCTTTTCTGTCAACTCAACCAGTGTGTTTTTCCATTAAATTCCCTGAATACCCTAGCCCCTCACTCCCGTTAGCTCTGATTGATTCCGGAACTGGCCACTGCATTACGCATTCCTTTGTTTCCCCTACAGTCAACAATTCCGGTTCGAGCCCTGGGTAATCGTCCAACAGGGACAGGGCTCGTACATCACATCACTGTTCCTGTTTCTCTGCTGACCCATGACACTCATTTAGAACAGATCACCTTTTTGATTTTAGACACCCCCACGCACCCCGTTGTTTTAGGTCTCCCTTGGTTGAGTTGGCATTACCCTGTTATTTCCTGGTCCAAGAGGAGACTGCTGGGTTGGTCGCAGGAGTGTCAGGGGAGGTGTCTCGCAGTGTCTGTCAACACCACTACGGTGGAAAGTCCGGACCACGCCACTCAAGTGGATTTACCGGAGGAATACCAGGATCTGCACCGGGTTTTCTCTAAGACCCAGGCTACACGCCTGCCTCCTCATCGCCCCTGGGACTGTGCCATTGACCTGCTGTCAGACGCAGTCCTCCCGAGAGGACACGTCTATCCCCTCTCCTACGTGGAGACCGAGGCCATGGAGGTCTCCACGTAGGAGACCTCCATGGTCAGGAGAGCCTCCAGCAGGGTTTTATCTCCCCCTCTACGTCACTAGCCTCCTCAAGCTCATTTTTTGTTAAGAAGAAAGATGGGGGATTGCGCCTTTGCATTAATTATCGAACACTGAATAAAGCCACAGTTAAGTTCAGCTATCCTTTACCCCTCATCCCAACCATCATTGAACAAATGCACGGGGCGCAGTACTTCACGAAACTGGACTTGAGGAGCTCCTACAATCTGGTGCACATTCGTGCAGGCGATGAATGGAAAACGGCCTTTTCCACGACCACGAGGCAATGCTCTTTGGCCTGTCTAATGCTCCTTCAGTCTTCCAGGCCTTTATTGACAAAGTGTTTCGGGACATGCTGGGACTTCGTTGGATGGCGGAGGCGGAGAGGGCGTTCGAGACGCTGAAGGCACGCTTCACCACTGCTCCCATGCTGGCACATCCCGACCCCTCACTCCACTTCATCATTGAGGTGGATGCCTCCGAAGTAGGAGTCGGGACAATGCTATCCCAGCGCACCGGAACCCCTCCAAAACTGTGGCCCTGTGCCTTCTACTCCAAGCAGCTGAGCCCTGCCCAGAGGAGCTACGACGTAGGGGACCGGGAACTCTTGGCAGTCAAGATGGCTCTGAAGGCGTGGAGGCACCGGCTGGAGGGGTCCAAACACCCTTTCCTGGTGTGGATGGACCACCGCAACCTGGAGTACATCAGGGCAGCAAAGAGGCTAAATCCGAGACAGGCCAGGTGGGCTCTATTATTCGCCAGGTTCCAATTCACGCTTTCCTATAGGCCATGCTTGAAGAACGTGAAGGCGGACGTGCTGTCTCACCTCTATGACCCAGAGGAGAGGCAGGGAGAGGAGACCCCCATCATCCCTCCGTTCCGTATCATCGCGCCAGTGGTGTGGGATGTGGATGCCGGCAGGCCCTGCGTACGGAACCCACACCTGCACAGTGCCCGGAGAACCACGCCTACGTGCCCACGGGTGTGCGGGACCACCTCCTTTCCTGGGCGCACACGCCGCCTGTGTCGGGTCATCCTGGAATAGGCCGTACCATCGCCTGCCTGACTGAGAAGTACTGGTGGCCCACCTTGGCTAGGGACGTCCGGGTTTACTTCTCTTCCTGCTCCATCTGTGCCCTGGTCTCACCTCTCGGTGGACTTTGTCACTGACCTTCCCCCCTCCCAGGGGAACACCAATGTTCTTGTCTTTGTGGACCGGTTTTCCAAAGCTTGTTGCCTCCTTCCTCTGCCTGGGTTCCCGTCGGCCAGGCAAACCGCGGAGTCTCTTTTTACGCACGTCTTCCGGCACTACGGGATCCCGGAGGACATTGTGTCAGACCGTGGCCCTCAGTTCACCTCATGCGTATGGAAAGCATTCATGGAACGCCTGGGGGTCACGGTCAGCCTCACTTCCAGGTACCGTCCTCAAGCTAATGGGCAGGTGGAGAGGGTCAATCAGGAAGTGGGCAGGTTCCTGAGGTGTTACTGTCAGGACTGGCAGGGGAAGTGGGAGGATTTTCTACCTTGGGCTGAGTACGCGCAGAATTCCCTCCGCCACTCCTCCACTAACCTCACTCCTTTCCAGTGCGTGTGTTGGGGTATCAGCCGACCTTGGCATCCGAGGCCACTGAGGTGGACGAGTGGTATCGGCGAGCTGAGGAGATCTTGTACGCTGCACACACTTGTATGTGTTTGTTTTGGGCTTCAATTCCGTCGTTTTTCATGACGTACCTTATGTTGGGTAGAGAAATAAAAAAAACTATTACGTATCATTATACAATGTGACATGGTTAAAGCATTTTGTTATTTTCTTGCCAATTTTGATGCTACACGTATTGTCAAAAGTATTCATCCCCCTTGGTGTTTTTCCTTTTTGTTGCATTACAACCTGTAATTTAAATATATTTTTATTTGGATTTCATGTAATGGACATACACAGAATAGTCCAAATAGGTGAAGTGAAATGAAAAAAATAACTACATTACATGAAATTACATTACGGAAAAGTGGTGCGTGCATATGTATTCACCCCCTTTGCTATGAAGCCCCTAAATAAGATCTGGTGCAACCAATTACCTTCAGAAGTCACATAATTAGTTAAATAAAGTCCACCTGTGTGCAATCTAAGTGTCACATGATATGTCACATGATCTCAGTATATATACACCTGTTCTGAAAGGCCCCAGAGTCTGCAACACCACTAAGCAAGGGGCACCACCAAGCAAGCGGCACCATGAAGACCAAGGAACTCTCCAAACAGGTCAGGGACAAAGTTGTGGAGAAGTACAGATCAGTGTTGGGTTATAAAAAAAATATCCAAAACTTTGAACATCCCATGGAGCACCATTAAATCCTTTATAAAAAAATTTAAAGAATATGGCACCACAACAAACCTGCCAAGAGAGGGCCGCCCACCAATACTCACGGACCAGGCAAGGAGGGCATTAATCAGAGAGGCAACAAAGAGACCAAAGATAACCCTGAAGGAGCTGCAAAGCTCCACAGCAGAGATTGGAGTATCTGTCCATGGGACCACTTTAAGCCGTACACTCCACAGAGCTGGGCTTTACGGAAGAGTGGCCAGAAAAAAGCCATTGCTTAAAGAAAAAAATAAGCAAACACGTTGGGAGACTCCCCAAACATATGGAAGAAGTTACTCTGGTCAGATGAGACTAAAAGTGAGCTTTTTGGCCATCAAGGAAAACGCTATGTCTGGCGCAAACCCAACACCTCTCATCACCCCAAGAACACCATCATGTTTTTCATCGGCTGGGAAACTGGTCAGAATTGAAGGAATGATGGATGGCGCTAAATACAGGGAAAATATTGAATAGAAAAAAATATATTTTGCATCTTCAAAATGGTAGGCATGTTGTGTAAATCAAATGATACAAACCCCCCAAAAATCAATTTTAATTCCAGGTTGTAAGGCAACAATAGGAAAAATGCCAAGAGGGGTGAATACTTTCCCAAGCCACTGTGCATTGATGTAATTATGTCATATGTTTAACCCCCTACAACACTTTTAATAACTTTGTAGAACAGTCCTGAATGCCAAATATAATAAAATGCTTTTTGGAAGTCGATAAAGTAAGTGTAAATGTTGGTATTATTTTGGTGGACTTGTTTCTCTATCAAGTTGTGTAGGGTGTAAATATGATCGGTCGTGCGATGTTTTGGTATAAATCCAATTTGGGTTTTTCTCAAGACATTGTGCTTATTAAGGAAGTTTAGAACTCTTACATTTATAATACTACAGAAAACCTTCCCCAGGTTACTGTTCACACAAATGCCTCTGTAATTGTTAGGGTCAAATTTGTCTCTGTTCTTAAAGATTGGGGTTATGAGTACCATATTCCAGATGTCAGGGAAATAACCTACACTCAAATTAAACAGTTTTAATATAGCCAATTGAAAATTTGAGCATCTCATTTAGGATGCCATCAGGTCCGCATGCTTTTTCAATTTGTAGTCCTGAAGTTTCTAATAGAGCTTGTCACGACTTCCGCCGAGGCTGCCTCCCCTCCTTGTTCTGGCAGGCTTCGGCGTTGGTCGTCACCGGCTTACTAACCACTGCCGCCCCAATTATCATCATCACATTTGTCTTTTCTTGTCAATCACACACACCTGGTTCTAATCCCCTCATTAGTCTGTGAATAAGTGTTCCCTCTGCCCCCTTGTCCTTGTGGGTGATTGTTTGAATGTGAGAGTAGTGGAGCACGATGGAGCTACTCGTACCATTTTGTTGCCAGGGTAGATATTTCCCCTGTGCCTATGTATTGTATGGAGATACCATTACAGTGTATTGCCAGGGTAAATAGTTTCCCCTGTGCCTGTTTCGTTTGTCGCTATTCCAGCGTATTTTGTGTAATGAAGGAATAAACTCTGTATTCGGTGATTACCCTCCTGCGCCTGACTCCTTCCATCACACTCATCACAGAGCTCCTGGTCAGTAATTGGGGAGTCCAATGGATTTTGATTGTCCTTTATAGCTTTTTCTAATCCGTTCAACTTCTCATGAATTTGGCATTGTTCTGCGTTTGCATCAATTTGAACGGTGTTGTAGAGTGTTTTAAAATGGGTTGTCCTTATGCCACTATTTTGTTTAGCTAATTCCTCTTGTTTCTAATTTTTACAGGTTTTTACAATTTTGCCAGAAGTTGTTTGTGTTTATGGACTCCCCAATTATCGTCAGTTGCTTGCTGTTGTACTGTCCGTTTTTGATTGTTATTGTACGTTTATAGAGTTTTAAAGTATCACAGTAATGAAGGTGTAATTCACCATTATTTGGGTCTTTGTGCTTTTGGTTTGATAGTGTTCAAATTTTTTTCCTGATCATTTTCCAGTCTGTATCAAACCAGTGGTCATCTGTATTTTTTCAAGTTATTGTTTTTAATCAATTTCAGTTGTGCTTCTTTGTCATTTGCCTGAAAATATTGTTGATGTGTTTTACTGCTATATCGATGCCTTCTTTACTATGAGTGTATGTGGTATCCAGAAAGTTATCTAAGAGTGTTTGGATATTTTGGTTACTGGTTGCTTTCTGGTATTCTTCTGTGCTGTTTTGGGCCCATCTGTATGAATTTCTGAAGTTGTACAGCTTACTGGGCTGTGAATGTGTGGTTGTTTCCAAGTCTGTTCTTTTGATGAACAAGGTCATTTGGCTGTGGTCAGACAGAGGTGTTAGTGGCTTGATGGTGAATGAGCTGAGAGAGAAAGGGTCAATGTCTGTAATCATATAGTCTACTGTGCTGTGGCCAAGAGGTGAACAATAGATGATTCTCCCCCAAAGAGTCCCCCTGTAACCTACCATTAACAAATTACAGACCCAGGCTTTGACAGAGCTGCAACAAATGTTGTTTCTATGGGGGAGATTAAGACAGAAACAGTATGGCCTGTAATAAAGCTGTCCCCTCGTGTGGTCGTTAGATCAGATAGTGTTCCTGTGAGCGCATTTGTGTCCCCACAGATCAACACATTTCCCTGGGCCTGGAAATAGCACGTCTCTTCCTCAATGGTGGGGAATGTCTCCTCTGAGTAATATGGGGATTCTGAGCGGGGGATATATATTGCACAAAGTAACACATATTTTTCTGTCAGTACAAGTTATTTTTTCAGTTTTAACCAAATGTGATATTTACCAATTTTGAGGGGATCAATTACATTTTGTAGTTCAGATTTGTACCAAATTATCAACACTCCAGAGTCTCTGCCTCTATTGACAGATCTGTGTTTCTGTAACGACACAATTACCTCTCTGTAGCCTGTGGGACAGTGAGTGACAATGTCTCTTGCAGAATGATGCAGAATGATGACAACATCTTTCAGATTTTTTTAAAACTCCAGTGCTAAACTCTTCAGTCCAAAGGTTGACAAGTTTAGGCCCTGAATGTTCCACATGCTAACTGATCGCGATTTCATGTTGCAAAAAGAAAGATTAGCACAGTCAAATACAGTAACTACTAAGTTAAGAGTGAGATAAACAATGGATAACAGAAAACATTTGTTCTCTTTTTTTATTTTTATATTAATTGAACAAGTGAACTTTTAGTACAATAGCTGTGTGTGCGCGTGCGCGTGCGTGCGTGCTTGCTTGCTTGCTTGCATGAGTGCGTGCTTGCATGAGTGCGTGTGTGCGTTTAGTGCAGATATACTGAAGGAGCTGTTTAATCTCACTCAATCCTACAGAGTTCTCCTGTCCTCTGAGGGCCTCCGCGTAGCCGCGCTGGTCCTGCTGTTGGGTCCGTGGAGGGGCAGATCTGGGCCGGGGGGCTGCCTCTCTGGTCTGGTAGAGGTGGTGGTCTGGTGTGGGGTAGTAGGCTGGGCCCAGTCCAGTCTGGTTGTGCTGATGGAGGTGGTGATGCTCTGGTGGTGGGTGGGTCCTGTGGGGTGCGCTGGGTCTGGTGTGGCATTGAGGGGGACTGGGGCTCCTTGGTGGTCTGGTAGGGGTCTCTGGATGCTCCTCTGTCCAGTGCAGTGTGGGGTGTTTGTCTACCAAGTGCCCCCTAACCATTCTGTTTATCTCTGTCTTCTCTCTCTGTGATGATCTGCCTGGCTCTTTCCCTTCCTAACCATTCTGTTTCTCTATGTCTCCTCTCTCTGTGATGATCCGCCTGGCTCTTTCCCTTCCTAACCATTCTGTTTCTCTTCTCTCGCTCTCTCCAGTTTGATGTCGGGGCTAGCAGCCCTGGATGCCAAGTGTTCCAGCCGCCTGGGCATCATGACCGTCTCCTACTACCTGTGGACCACCTTTGTGGCGGTGGTGGTGGGCATCCTCATGGTTACCATCATCCACCCAGGGGGCGCCGCCCAGAAGGAGGACAATGAGGACAGCGGCAAGCCAATCATGAGCTCCGCTGATGCCCTGCTCGATCTAATTCGGTAAGATATAATTAAATTGACCTTTGACCTTTGTTGTTGCGTGTCCTACTGAATTTAATTGTTCTAAAATCAGCCTACAGTGAAGGTTCAATGGTTCAAGGGTTCCAAGGTTGAGGGGTTTTATTAGTCACGTTTACAATAAACACAACATTTGTTTCCCCAGTGCAAAACATATTCAAGACAGGAATATTACTATAACTTTATCCGTTTCTCTTCAAGCCTCTGTACTCTGTGACTGTTGACATGCTAAAAGCTTTGCTGTTCAATAAATCAAATGTATTTACATAGCCCCTTTTATAAAAGCAACATTTCTTACAAGTGCTTTACACAGTAACCTGGCAACTGCAGATTCCCAAGACCCTTCATCAGAATTCGTTTGAGGCAGGCTTTAGATTTTTTTTCTTCATAAAACCATTAAGACATGTACAAGAGTGTGCGTGTGTCCATGAGTGCGTGTGTGCATGTGTGCCTGTGCGTTCCGTGTGGAGATTGTAGCAGGCAGCCAAGGGGCTTCCAGCTCTTAGCTTCACCTCATCACCCAGACCAGTCCTTTTCACATTTCTCCGGTGAGAGTTTTTAACTGTTTAATTCAACTGTGCCAGAGGTATTTGGGTAATATTTGAAAAGATATTTGGAAATATAAGGCCCTGATATATTTGGAAAATACTAAGCTATGAACTGCTTATAAATATAACCGCTGCTCCTAGGCGCAGTTGTTCCTGTTTTTGTTCTGAGGAAATTAGCATCCAGCATTGTGGTATAAAAACAAATTGCTGTACATACTCTGATGTTCTACCGTGCGTGCAATGATGTGCAATGATGTCAGAGGGAAAAAAACAGTGTTTGTTGTTTGACGTAACGGACATCGCAGTTTCACCACTATGGATTCCAGCTTTGAAGCTCCTACACCTCCTGCGTTTGGTTGTCTCTCTCCCAGCCAGCCTGGTGGTTAACCATGTGTGCTGTGTCATGTGCCGTCTCAGTCTCACGGAGTGTGTGTGTGTGTGTGTGCGTGTGTGTCTCAGTGACACGAACAGGAAGTAAAGCCTAATGCCTCCTCTGTCAGTGGGTCACAGCTAAGCTAATTAGCCAGGTGAGGGATGGAGGGTGAGGGTTAGGGTTACGCTAGACAGGCTCAGAGCATCACTGTGTGTATCACCATAACAGTCGGTCAGTGGGCCACTGTCATGAGCACTTAGCCTGTGGCCCTACACAGCTCCCAGTCACAGGCCTGTGGCCCTTACCTACACACAGGGACATTTACATTTTTACATTTTAGTCATTTAGCAGACGCTCTTATCCAGAGCGACTTACAGTTAGTGAGTGCATACATTTTTCATACTGGCCCCCCATGGGAATCGAACCCACAACCCTGGCGTTGCAAGCGCCATGCTCTACCAACTGAGCTACAGGAGCCTCTCGTGTAGTAAAGCCTCTCGTGGAAGGCTTTACTACACAGACAATTGCACTTTATTATTACTTTATTATCGCTAAGTATTAATCATTAACAAACATTTACCATCTTTTATAGTAATCGTAATAAAGAAAAAAAGACAGTAAGTTGGCATTCATGTTTGTTCGCATACGTGTTGGCAAACGTGTCTTTTTTTTTGTTAGAGCTGAACACCTACCTTGTCATGTGCTGTCCTGCATCAGGAAACTGTAACAGGTCATCAGATTTATACTGTGAAAAAGTGTATGTTAAGCAAGACTGAGGGATTCTGTGGCCCTTACCTACACACAGAGACCTCATGTGAGAGACTCTATACAGACAATTGTACTTTATTACTACTTTATAACTACTTTATTACTGTTAAGTATAACTGATTAAGGAACATTGACTATATTTTATTGTCATTGTGTAAGTATAGGTGGTATATTCATTCAGGTGTATATTTTGATTAGAGCTGAGCACGTGCAGTAGCCTGTTACGGGCTGTTAAACGTAGGAAACTGATGCAGAAGATAACTGCACAATCATTTATATTTTAAAAACATGAGAAATGATACAAATAATAGGTGAGTGCTAAGCACTGTGCCATTTTTAAAATGCGTGAGAAAATGACCTGTTTATCTATACCAGGGTTGAAGTCAATTCCATTTAAATTCTAGTTAATTCAGGAAGTACACTGAAATTCCGATTCCAATTCTCTTTAATGCTTTTCAACGAGGAACATGTGGAATTGCAATTGACCCCAACCCTGGTATCTACCTAGGCAGCAGCTGTGGTACATGTACGTGAGGCCAGGAGCAGGGATCCTGTCTATCGTTCTTGTTGCTGCGTGTTTTTTTTTATATCCCAGAGGACAGCTGTGCTCAGGATTTACCCTAAAGCTCCTTTAGAGTCTCCCTCCCTGCCTTCATCTATCATGCCAGTGTATATGTGTGCTTAAGTCCGTGCGCCTGTTTTTGTGCATGTTTGTGCACGGTGCATGCGTGCGTGTGCATGTCCAAGTGTGTGTGTTCTTATGGCCGAGAGCTTGTTTGTGTGTGTTTAATGTGTTGTGTATATGAACGTGTGTGATGGTGAGGTGTAATTAGTGGCATTGAGGTCAGTGTTTCGTTCTGATCCACACTGTGTTTGATTAACAGAGTGGTTTATTAGCAGGCTTTAGTCTCATAGAGGACCGGAACGGATTACTTAGTAATGGAATGTACTATAAATCAAATCAAATTCAAATCCAATTTATTGGTCACATACACAGTTTACAACAGGTATGACCTAGTGATTTAAATATACTGCACTTCAATACTCTATATCAGTATTTTTGTTTTAATCAATCACATTTTATGTACAGTTGAAAGTCGGAAGTTTACATACACCTTAGCCAAATACATTTAAACTCAGTTTTTCACAATTCCTGACATTTAAACCTAGTAACAATTCCCTGTCTTAGGTCAGTTAGGATCACCACTTTATTTTAAGAATGTGAAATGTCAATAATAGTAGAGAGAATGATTTATTTCAGCTTTTATTTCTTTCATCACATTCCCAGTGGGTCAGAAGTTTACATACACTCAATTAGTATTTGGTAGCATTGCCTTTAAATTGTTTAAATTCGGTCAAACGTTTCGGGTAGCCTTCCACAAGCTTCCCAAAATAAGTTGGGTGAATTTTGGCCCATTCCTCCTGACAGAGCTGGTGTAACTGAGTCAGGTTTGTAGGCCTCCTTGCTCACACACGCTTTTTCAGTTCTGCCCACAAATGTTCTATAGGATTTAAGTCAGGGCTTTGTGATAGCCACTCCAATACCTTGACTTTGTTGTCCTTAAGCCATTTTGCCACAACTTTGGAAGTATGCTTGGGGTCATTGTCCATTTCGAAGACCCATTTGCGACCAAGCTTTAACTTCCTGACTGAAGTCTTGAGATGTTGCTTCAATATATCGACATAATTTTCCTTCCTCATGATGCCATCTATTTTGTGAAGTGTAAAAAAAAAAGTCCCTCCTGCAGCAAAGCACCCCCACAGCATGATGCTGCCACCCCCTCACGGTTGGGATGGTGTTCTTCGGCTTGCAAGCAACCACCTTTTTCCTCCAAACATAACGATGGTCATTATGGCCAAAGAGTTCTATTTTTGTTTAATCAGACCAGAGGACATTTCTCCAAAAAGTACGATCTTTGTCCCCATGTGCAGTTGCAAACCGTAGTCTGGCTTTTTTATGGCAGTTTTGGAGCAGTGGCTTCTTCCTTGCTGAGCGGCCTTTCAGGTTATGTCGATTTAGGACCCGTTTTACTGTGGATATAGATACTTTTGTAACTGTTTCCTTCAGCATCTTCACAAGGTCCTTTGCTGTTGTTCTGGGATTGATTTGCACTTTTCGGACCAAAGTACGTTCATCTCTAGGAGACAGAACGCGTCTCCTTCATGAGCGGTATGACGGCTGCGTGGTCCCATGGTGTTTATACTTGTGTACTATTGTTTGTACAGATGAACGTGGTACCTTCAGGCATTTGGAAATTGCTCCCAAGGATGAACCAAACTTGTGGAGGACTACAATTGTTTTTCTGAGGTCTTGACTAATTTCTTTTGATTTTCCCATGATGTCAAGCAAATAGGCACTGAGTTTGAAAGTAGGCCTTGAAATACATCCACAGGTACACCTCCAATTGACTCAAATGATGTCAATTAGCCTATCAGAAGCTTCTAAAGCCCTGACATTATTTTCTGGAATTTTCCAAGCTGTTTAAAGGCACAGTCAACTTAGTGTATGCAAACGTTTGACCCACTGGAATTGTGATACAGTATATTATAAGTGAAATAATCTGTCTGTAAACAATTGTTGGAAAATTACTTGTGTCATGCACAAAGTAGATGTCCTATCCGACTTGCCAAAACTATAGTTTGTATATGTAAACTTCCGACTTCAACTGTACGTTTTCTTCTTCAAACCATCAATCAACAAATTAATCACGTTTTATTTATACAATGAATTTTACAAATGTTTAGCGAGTATGTTGTTTATTATTGCACTATATACATATAAATAGCCAAAATATTAATACAATTACTGCACTATACATATACAGATGTCTTGCAAATGGCCACATAAAGCTGGGAAGTGAGTTATGTCCTAAGACGTCCTTGTCAGAGACCCAATTATAACCTATTATAACAGCATCTAAGACTCCTATTAGAACTAGCAGTTAAGAGTCTTGGCGTGGGGCCGCTGGGCCGAGTCAGGTAACCGGCTAACTCTACTTCCACATGAGTCTGACTTTACTTCACCTGGCCGGGTGTCTCTCACTTCAATCACAATTTATGTCATTGTCCGCATTGATGGCCATATGTACAGGAGATTCCATTTGTCTCCTGGTGCCTTCAAGGCTGAAAGTGATTAAAACTGGACCTGAGGTTGTGAATGTAATTTTGTGAATTAAATTGTTGTGCTTGGATGGTTTCAAGAGCGCATAAAGAGCTGCACATTTTTATATGTGTTATTGCGGTTGATATATTTTCAGAGAGAACTTGTTTTGCAAGCTACATTAAAAGACGTGTGTGTCTTATTAGTAGAAAGTAATTGACTCTGTCTTATACTGTAATGTATCATGTATTTTATGTACACTGTAATTGTTTTGTGTCAATTCATTCGTGACTAATAAATCGCATTAGTTCATTTGAGTAAATGCATTCCTCATTTGTAGAGTAAACTCTTTGATTGACTGAACACTACCAGTCAAAAGTTTGGACACACGTACTCATTCAAGGGTTTTTCTTTATTTTTACAATTTATTTTTTAACATCAAAACTATAAAATAACACATATGGAATCATGTAGTAATGATGTCTTTACTATTATTCTACAATGTAGAAAATAGTACAAATAAAGAAAAACCCTTGAATGAGTAGGTGTGTCCAAAGTTTTGACTGGTACTGTATGTTCATAATTTAGTAGGTCTATTGGTAAATGTTATTTACACTATACACATAGCATTATGCATAGGTTCTAACGTGACATCTCTGGCTAAGATAGACTTGATCAATTAAAGCTTGGACTGTGGTTGCTATAAACAGCTCATAAGTCCTATAAGCCACTTAATAATCACATAAAGCTATCTTAGAAAACATGTAGTTATAGTACCGAGTGGGGACACGGAGACTCTCAAGCTGGCTAGATCCATCGGTTACCAATCCAAAATACATTCTAATCATAATCAGAGCTTTGTGTATAATTTTATCCAGGGCTACTCAATCACAGTCCTGAAGCCTGAGGGACACAACTATCTGACCAATCAGTTAAATTAATTGATCAATTACGAGCAGTAGGTGAATAGCATTGGTGTAATAATACACACATGTTTTAGGGCCAACTGACAGTCTTATTCTAATGAAAATGCTGCTACTGGTTTGACACATTGTGTACATCGTTTCTGGTTATCCACAAGATGATATGAATGAGAGAAGTGGAGTACGAAAAAAGGTTATAAAGTGTAAAGCTTTTGGATGTGGTCAAGTTCTCTGACTCCTCATATGGAACATGCTGTGCTTCCATGCCTGTTATAGGAAAGTCCAGTCACATAACAGATTTTAACTTTACATGGAAAAGTTTGATTGAAAAATGTTGAATAATGCTTTTTCAGTTATCTTAACACTTTCATTTCTGTAACCTCTCAGACAGCTACAGAGTTTAACACTTTTCTATATCCTTCCCTTCTAGCAACATGTTCCCTGCCAACTTGGTCCAAGCAACTTTCCAACAGGTGAGTAGCATGACATTATCATACTGTATATAGTAGAAATGTAGCTGTTTCCATTTTAGTTTCCTAAAGAGTTTTAGGAGGAGTGCCAAAGCATGAAATACAGTTAATAGGAGATTAATGAGATAATGAGATTATTTGAATGGAAGTCTGTGTATGTTTGAAATACAAATTCACCAAATTATGGGTGACCGTTAGTGACAGGAATGAATTCAATACAGTATCTTTAACTAATTCCGATTCTTTTTCACATCATACATAGCTTGTATATCTATCTATACATAACATGTTAGATACTTCAGTATGACATTAATGTACCCTACCGGTCAAAAGTTTTAGAACACCTACTAATTCAATGGTTTTTCTTTATTTTTACTATTTTCTACATTGTAGAATAATAGTGAAGACATCACAACTATGAAATAACACATATGGAATCATGTAGTATGAAAAATGTATGCACTCACTAACTGTAAGTCGCTCTGGATAAGAGAGTCTGCTAAATGACTAAAATGTTAAAAAAATGTAGTAACCATAAAAGTGTTAAACAAATCACTGCTACTCATTCCGTACTGCTACTCATTCCGTTCACTAGTTCTGGAGGTCTTCGTCACTGACATGGATCATTACCACCAACTCCGGACTGTCTTATCTCATTAAACACACGGTTTCCATTCCCCCTGATTAGTATGTGTATATATGTGCCCTCTGTTCCCCATTGTCCTTGTCCATTATTGTCCCATGTCCATTGGTCTCGTGAGTACCGTGTATAGTGCTCTTGTTGTTTACGGGTCTCGTCCCGTGTATTGTGTAGAGGTTACACCTCGCTCTTTGTTTGGGTTACATCCTTTTGTATGTAAGACGTGTTTGTGTTGGGTGGAGTAAATTAAACCCCTAATACGTATTCCTGTGCCTGTCTTCAAATCATTATACAACGTGACAGAATAATCAACCCATAAAAATGGAGACAGCGGGAAAGGCCGAGCTGGCGATCATCGTAGAGACAGTCCAGCATCATGAGTACTGTCTCTCCAGACTCGGCAGCACCATGGACAGTGTGCTGGCAACCATCTTGCGGTTGGAGGGGAAAGTGCAGTCCCTCCAGTCTCCAGCACTGGTTCAGGCACCAGCCCCCACACCACCAATACCTGCCTCCGTTCCATCTGAGCCGGTCCCGCGGAATACCCCTGTCCCTCCCGGAGCGCTTTGACGGCGCGCCAGCGAGATGCAAGGGATTCCTTCTGCAATGCGACCTGTACCTCGCTCGCTACGCCGAGGATGTCTCCGGGAGAGACAGGGTTGCCACAGTCATCTTGGCACTGACCGGACAGGCCCTGGACTGGGGTGCCGCGGTTTGGGAAACGGGCGGACCCGAGGCGATCCGGTTGGAGAACCTCCTGCGGTCCAGATGAAGATCTACATGGAATCTGGAGCCCATGGCTACACCTCCTCCATGGCCAGAGCCGATGGAGGTGTGCTCTGCACGTTTGCCCGAGGCAGAGCGTAGGAGGAGGAGGAATCTGTGCCTCTGCTCCTATGGTGGAGAAAGGGGTCATTTTTCCCTGACCTGCCCTCTATCCACTAATAGGCGAGGAGGTGACAAGCCAGGGAATTCCCCTGCTCCAACCCAGCAGAGGAGAGGCAGGAAGAGGAGACCCCCATCATCCCTCAGTTCCGTATCATCGCACCAGTGGTGTGGGACGTGGACGCCAACATACGGCAGGCCCTGCATACGGAACCCACACCTGCACAGTTCCCGGAGAACCGCGCCTACGTGCCCAAGGGTGTGCGGGACCGCCTCCTTTTCTGGGCGCACACGGAGCCTGTGTAGGGTCATCCTGGGATAGGCCGTACCATCGCCTGCCTGACTGAGAAGTACTGGTGGCCCACCTTGGCTAGGGACGTCCGGGTTTAAGTCTCTTCCTGCTCCATCTGTGCCCAGTCTAAGACACCCAGACACCTCCCTTATGGAAAGCAACTTTCCCTGCCTGTTCCACAACGACCCTGGTCTCACTTCTCGGTGGACTTTGCCACTGGCTCTTTTTACGCACGTCTTCCAGCACTACGGGATCCCGGAGGACATTGTGTCAGACCATGGCCCTCAGTTCACCTCACACATATGGAAAGCGTTCATGGAACACCTGGGGTCATGGTCAGTCTCACCTCCGGGTACCGTCCTCCAGCTAGTGGGCAGGTGGAGAGGGTCAATCAGGAAGTGGGCAGGTTCCTGAGGTGTTACTGTCAGGACCGGCCGGAGAAGTGGGCGGATTTTCTACCTTGGGCTGAGTATGCACAGAATTCCCTCCGCCACTCCTCCACTAACATCACTCCTTTCCAGTGCGTGTTGGGGTATCAGCCAGCCCTGGCACCTTGGCATCCGAGCCAGACCAAGGCCCCTGCGGTGGACGAGTGGTTTCAGCACGCTGAGGAGATCTGGAACGCTGCGTGTGTCAGCACAAGGAACAGGCCGACCGCCACCGCAGTGAGGAGCATGTTTTCTCTTCAGGCGACCGGGTCTGGCTCTCCACCCAGAACCTACCCCTCCGCTTGCCCTGCCGGAAGCTGAGCCCGCGGTTTGTGGGGCCGTTTAAAGTCCTGTGGAGGGTTAATGAGGTAACGTACCATTTGCAACTCCACGCTAATTACCGCATTAACCCGACTTTTCATGTTTCTCTCCTCAGGCCAGTGGTGCCTGGTCCTCCTCCTCTGGACATCAAGGGAGGTCCGACGTACTTGGTCCGTGAAGTCCTGGATTCGAGGCATCAGGCGGGGCATCTCCAGTACCTCATCGACTGGGAAGGGTACGGCCCAGAGGAGCGGTGCTGGTTCCTGCGGTGGACATCCTGGACGCTTCGCTGACCAGGGATTTTCACTGTCGGCACCGTGACCGACCCGCACCGCGTCCTTGTGGTCGTCCCCGAGGCCGGTGTCGTCCCGCTGCTAGTGCAGCACATCGGGGGGGGGGGGGGGGGGGGGGGGGGGTACTGCCACGGATCACCCCGGTACTGCTGAGGAGTAAATTATACCCTTAATACGTATTCCTATACCCTTAATGCTTTTCCAACAGTCTTGAAGGACTTCCCACGTATGCTGAGCACTTGTTGCCTGCTTTTCCTTCACTCTCTGGTCCAACTCATCCCAAACCATCTCAATTTGGTTGAGGTCAGGGGATTGTGGAGGCCAGGTCATCTGATGCAGCACTCCATCACTCTCCTTCTTGATAAAATAGCCCTTACACAGCCTGGAGGTGTGTTGGGTCATTGTCCTGTTGAAATACAAATGACAGTCCCACTAAGCCCAAACAAGATGGGATGGCGTATTGCTGCAGAATGCTGTGGTAGCCATGCTGTTTAAGTGTGCCTTGATTTCTAAATAAATCACTGACAGTGTCACCAGCAAAGCACCCCCACACCATAACACCTCCTTGCATGGTAAATACACATGCAGAGATCATTCGTTCACCCACACAGCGTCTCACAAATACGCAGTTTGAACCAAAAATCTCAAATTTGGACTCCAATCCGAAGGACAGAATTCCACCGGTCTAGTGTCCATTGCTTGTGTTTCTTGGCCCAAACAAGTCTCTTCTTCTTATTGGTTTCCTTTAGTAGTGGTTTCTTTGCAGCAATTCGACCATGAAGGCCTGATTCACACAGTCTCCTCTGAACATTTGATGTTGAGATGTGTCTGTTACTTGAACTCTGTGAAGCATTTATTTGGGCTGCAATTTCTGAGGCTGGTAACTCTAATGAACTTATCATCTGCAGCAGAGGTAACTCTGGGTCTTCATTCCTGTGGCGGTCCTCATGAAATCCAGTTTCATCATTTCGCATACTAGTTTTTGCGACTGCACTTTTTGCGACTGGCGTTCATATCTTAAAGTAATTATGCACTGTCGTTTTGCTTTGCTTATTTGAGCTGTTCTTGCCATAATATGGACTTGGTCTTTTACCAAATAGGCTTATCTTCTGTGTACCCCCCTACCTTGTCACAACACAACTGATTGGTTCAAATGCATTAAGAAGGAAAGAAATTCCACAAATTAACTTTTAAGAAGGCACACCTGTTAATTGAAATGCATTCCAGGTGACTACCTCATGAAGCTGGTTGAGAGAATGCCAAGAGTGTGCAAAGCTGTCATCAAGGCAAAGGGTGGATATTTGTAAAATCTCAAATATATTTTGATTTGTTTAACACTTTTTTGGTTACTATATGATTCCACATGTGTTATTTCATAGTTTTGATGTCTTCACTATTATTCTGCAATGTAGAAAATAGTAAAAATAAAGAAAAACCCTTGAATGAGTAGGTGTTCTAAAAATGTTGACCGGTAGTGTATGTTAGATACTTTAATATGATATTAATGTATATATCTGGTCTTATTAGTACCGTACCAGGAGTATCCCCATCATGAAGGCCCCCCCACCCACGGTGGCAGCCTCCCTGATGGAGAGCACCACCCGGAGGGTCTATATCTACGGTGTCCAGGACGACAACGGCACAGACATCCAGAACTTCTCCCTGGACATGACACCTCCACCCGACATCCAGATGCGCACGCTGCCCGGGACCAGCGATGGCATGAACGTCCTGGGGATCGTCATCTTCTCCGCCACCATGGGTGAGTGACGTCATCACTGACCTCTGACCTCTACCCCTAACCCCCCAGACACCCTGTGGTGTCATTATGGGTGAGGGACAGTTCCACTAACACATGCACGCACACACGAATGCAAGCACACATACACACACACACACAGACACACATAGACACACACAGACACACACACACACACACACAGACACTATCACTATCGTCCCTGCCCTTCATCCAGTTAACCTTTACTTTACTCTTTAGTTCTCTCCTGTTGATCAATTCCCTATAGTAAAAGCACAAACCATTAGCAAATCAATCTGGCCCACGGTATGGTGTCCATGTTGTCTCAGTGTTGTTGTTGTTGTTGTTGGTCTCTCCAGGTATCATGCTGGGTAGAATGGGGCCTAATGGCAGCGCCTTGGTCAACTTCTGTCAGAGTCTGAACGAGGCTGTCCTGAAGATTGTCGCCATAGTGATCTGGTAAGAGCTCTATCTTACAGGGAGAGCAACCCTAATCAAACCAGTAACTCTAACTCTGGTCATGACCTCAATGACCAGAGGGGTATACTACGAAGCAGGATCAATAAGTTAGCCAGCTAACTTTGATAAATAGCCAGAAATAGTTGTTGATTTTCCGGTTCATTAAGAAAGCTAAACTTAGTGATGTGTTTTTGGTTGTTGATTCAATTACAGAATGCCATCTTAAAGATTATCTTTAAATATATTTATATATAAAAATAAAAAATATAAATAAAATATATATATATACACATTACCATTCAAAAGTTTGGGGTCACTTAGAAATGTCCTTGTTTTCAATGAAAACATACATGAAATGAGTTTGAATAGGAAATTTGGCAAAATGAATAGGAAATGTAGTCATTGACAAGGTTAGAAATAATGATTTTTAATTGAAATAATAATTGTGTCCTTCAAACTTTCCTTTCGTCAAAGAATCCTCCATTTGCAGCAATTACAGTCTTGCAGACCTTTGGCATTCTAGTTGTCAATTTGTTGAGGTAATCTGAAGAGATTTCACCCCATGCTTCCTGAAGCACCTCCCACAAGTTGGATTGGCTTGATGGGCACTTCTTACGTTCCATATGGTCAAGCTGCTCCCACAACAGCTCAATAGGGTTGAGATCCGGTGACTGCTGGCCACTCCATTATAGACAGAATACCAGCTGACAGCTGGCTACGGAGAGCGTGATCACATAGTCATCCGGAACAGCTGGTGCTCTCATGCATGCTTCAGTGTTGCTTGCATCAAAGCGAGCATAGAATGGTTTAGCTCGTCTGGTAGGCTTGTGTCACTGGGCAGCTCGCGGCTGTGCTTCCCTTTGTAGTCTGTATTAGTTTTCAAGCCCTGCCACATCCAACGAGCATCAGAGCCGGTGTAGTACGATTCAATCTTAGTCCTGTATTGACTCTTTGCCTGTTTGATGGTTCGTCGGAGGGCATAGCGGGATTTCTTATAAGCGTCCGGGTTAGAGTCCCGCTCCTTGAAAGCGGCAGCTCTACCCTTTAGCTCAGTGCGGATGTTGCCTGTAATCCATGGCTTCCGGTTGGGGTATGTACGTACGGTGATATGAGATTTTTATAGTGTTATGATGTCATGTCATAGTATCGTGGGGACCAGGTTAGAGTTAGTAGATAATTGGCTTGGTGCCACGGAGTCTACATTCCGTTATGTCAAAGGAGATTACTGATGTTTAGGATAGCATGATTGATGGACAGGATATACTGACTTGGGGTAAAGAGTAATAACATCAAAGAATGGGAGTGCTCATTGACGATGGCCAGATGTGGTTAAAGAAATGTGTAACCAAGTGTATAAAATCTGTGAGATTTGTGTGTGTGGGCAGTTCAACTGACAAGGTGGCAAGGCTATGTCCATTTGTTAAATGAACCCACAGGCTCATGATCAAATAAATACTTGGTAAAATCTCCACAGAATGTCTAAGTAAATTCTTGCATCTTGAACTTCTCAATACCAGAAACTCATCATAACATACGGTCACTGTGGGGACGACGTCATCGATGCACTAATTGATGAAGCCAGTGACTGATGTGGTGTACTCCTCAATGCTATCTGAAGAATCCCGGAACATGTTCCAGTCTGTGCTAGCAAAACAGTCCTGTAGCTTAGCATCTGCATCATCTGACCACTTTTTTATTAACCGAGTCACTGGTGCTTCCTGCTTTAGTTTTTGCTTATAAGCAGGAATCAGGAGGATAGAGTTATGGTCAGATTTGGCAAATGGAGGGCGAGGGAGAGCTTTGTATGCATTTCTGTCTGTGGAGTAAAGGTGGTCTAGAGTTTTTTTTCCACTGGTTGCACATTTAACATGCTGGTAGAAATTAGGTAGAACGGATTTAAGTTTCCCTGCATTAATGTCCCTGGCCACTAGGAGTGCTGCCTCTGGATGAGCATTTTCCTGTTTACTTATGGCCTTATACAGCTCATTGAGTGCAATCTTAATGCCAGCATTGGTTTGTGGTGGTAAATAGACAGCTATGAAAAATATAGATGAAAACTCTCTTGGTAAATAGTGTGGTCTACAGCTTATCATGAGATACTCTACCTTAGGCGAGCAAAAAACCTCGAGACTTCCTTAGTATTTGATTTTGTGCACCAGCTGTTGTTTACAAATATACACAGACCGCCACCCCTTGTCGTACCGGAGTCAGCCGTTCTATCCTGCCGATGTAGCGTATATCCCGTCAGCTGTATGTTGTCCATGTCGTCGTTCAGCCACGACTCTGTGAAACATAAGATATTACAGTTTTTAATGTCCCGTTGGTAGGATAACCGTAATCTTAGGTCATCTAATTTATTTTCAAATGATTGAACATTGGCTAATAGGATTGATGGAAGAGGCAGTTTCTCGCTCGCCGTTGAATCCTTACAAGGCACCCCAACCTATGTCCACGATATCTCCGTCTCTTTCTCTTGCGAATGACAGGGATTTGGGCCTTGTCGGGTGTCTGTAGGATATCCTTCGCGTCCGACTCGTTGAAGAAAAAATCTTCGTCCAATACGAGGTGAGTAATCACTGTCTGATATCTAGAAGCTCTTTTTGGTTATAAGAGACGATGGCAGAAACATTATGTACAGAATAAATTACAAAAAACTCGAAAAAACACTCATAATAGTACAATTGGTTAGAGGGCTGTAAAACACACCTCCAGGCTGCGCAAGGGCTATTTTACAAAGAAGGAGAGTGATGGAGTGCTGCATCAGATGACCTAGCCTCCACAATCCCCCAACCTCAACCCAATTGAGATGGTTTGGGATGAGTCGGATGGCAGAGTGAAGGAAAAGCAGCCAACAAGTGCTAAGGATATGTGGTAAGTCCTTCAAGACTGTTGGAAAAGCATTCCAGGTGAAGCTGGTTGAGAGAATGCCAAGAGTTTGCAAAGCTGTAATCAATTATTTGTTTAACACCTTTTTGCTTACTTTCTTGATTCCATATGTGTTATTTCATAGTTTTGATGTCTTCACTATTATTCTCCAATGTGAAAAATAGTAAAAATAAAAAATAAACCTTGAATGAGTAGGTATGTCCAGAACAAGTATTTGATACACTGCCGATTTTGCAGGTTTTCCTACTTACAAAGCATGTAGAGGTCTGTAATTTTTATCATAGGTACACTTCAAATGTGAAAATCCAGAAATCCAGAAAATCACATTGTATGATTTTAAAGTAATTAATTTGCATTTTATTGCATTACATAAGTATTTGATCACCTACCAACCAGTAAGAATTCCGGCTCTCACAGACCTGTTAGTTTTTCTTTAAGAAGCCCTCCTGTTCTCCACTCATTACCTGTATTAACTGCACCTGTTTGAATTCGTTACCTGTATAAAAGACACCTGTCCACACACTAAATCAAACAGACTCCAACCTCTCCACAATGGCCAAGACCAGAGAGCTGTGTAAGGACATCAGGGATAAAATTGTACACCTGCACAAGGCTGGGATGGGCTACAGGACAATAGGCAAGCAGCTTGGTGAGAAGGCAACAACTGTTGGCGCAATTATTCGAAAATGGAAGAAGATGACGGTCAATCACCCTCGGTCTGGGGCTCCATGCAAGATCTCACCTCGTGGGGCATCAATGATCATGAGGAAGGTGAGGGATCAGCCCAGAACTATACGGCAGGACCTGGTCAATGACCTGAAGAGAGCTGGGACCACAGTCTCAAAGAAAACCATTAAAACCACCCCCTGCTCAAGCCAGCGCATGTCCAGGCCCGTCTGAAGTTTGCCAATGACCATCTGGTTGATCCAGAGGAGGAATGGGAGAAGGTCATGTGGTCTGATGAGACAAAAATAGAGCTTTTTGGTCTAAACTCCACTCGCCGTGTTTGGTGGAAGAAGAAGGATGAGTACAACCCCAAGAACACCATCCCAACCGTGAAGCATGGAGGTGGAAACATCATTCTTTGGGGATGCTTTTCTGCAAAGGGGACAGGACGACTGCACTGTATTGAGGGGAGGATGGATGGGGCCATGTATCGCGAGATCTTGGCCAACAACCTCCTTCCCTCAGTAAGAGCATTGAAGATGGGTTGTGACTGGTTCTTCCAGCATGACAACGACCCGAAACACACAGCCAGGGCAAGTAAGGAGTGGCTCCGTAAGAAACATCTCAAGGTCCTGGAGTGGCCTAGCCAGTCTCCAGACCTGAACCCAATAGAAAATCTTTGGAGGGAGCTGAAAGTCCGTATTGCCCAGCGACAGCCATGAAACCTGAAGGATCTGGAGAAGGTCTGTATGGAGGAGTGGGCCAAAATCCCTGCTGCAGTGTGTGCAAACCTGGTCAAGACCTACAGGAAACGTATGATCTCTGTAATTGCAAACAAAGGTTTCTGTACCAAATATTAAGTTCTGCTTTTCTGATGTATCAAATACTTATGTCATGCAATAAAATGCAAATTAATTACTTAAAAATCATACAATGTGATTTTCTGGATTTTTGTTTTAGATTCCGTCTCTCACAGTTGAAGTGTACCTATGATAAAAATGACAGACCTCTACATGCTTTGTAAGTAGGAAAACCTGCAAAATCGGCAGTGTGTCAAATACTTGTTCTCCCCACTGTATATATACAGTACCAGTCAAAAGTTTGGACACACCTACTCATTCAAGGATTTTTCTTTATTTTTACTATATATATATATATTTCTGAATATTTAGGCTAGTTAGCTGGCTAACTCCTTGATCCTGCTTTGTAGTACATATTTACCCCTCAGGGCCGGCTCCAGGTATAAGAAACATAAGCGGTCGCTTAGGCCCCCAGGCTGCCCAGGGGCCCTGACCTCCAGCGGGGCCCCATTGATTTTGTTTGTCACTCTCACATCATTAACATGGTATAAGTAATGGGAAAATGTGTAAAAAAAAATATCTTCACCCATGGCAAAATGGGTAGAATTGCAGGAATTTAGCTGTAAAACTGTACATTTTTTCTCTCTGCCCCATGGCGAAATTAGTAGAATTGTATGACATTTTTTATTAAATTGCACAATTTTCTCTCCGCCACATTGCAAAATGTGTAGAACTGCAGAAACCTTGCTTTAAAAGTGCCACATTTTCTGTACACCCCAAATGTGTAGAATTGCAGGAAAGTAACTTAAAAACCAAAATGTTTCTCTCCACCGTCAAGAGCAGGGCCAACCAAATCTCGCTTAGGGCCCCCAAAAGGCCGGCTCTGTCAATGACCTAAGCTAGTCCAAAAACTAGCCTGTTTGGGTTAAAAAAATTACCTACAAGGAGAATCAATGTAAACAACTCTTAACATCCTGGTCTACCGCAGGTACTTCCCTTTCGGCATTGTGTTCCTGGTGGCTGGTAAGATCCTGGAGATGGACGACCCGTCGGCCATGGGGAAGAAGCTGGGGTTCTACGCTATCACCGTGGTGATGGGGCTGGTGCTACACGGTCTCTTCATCCTACCGGCCATGTACTTCTTCATCACCAAGAAAAGTCCCATCGTCTACATCAGGGGCATCCTGCAGGCCCTGCTCATCTCCCTGGCAACCTCCTCCAGGTAAACAACAACAACCCTAACAATGACCCTAACCCAAACCCTAGCTTCATGTCCACACACTGGCTCAACCCTAACCCTAACCCGAGCCACAACCCTAGCCATAACACTAACCTTAGTCATAACCCTAGCCATAACCCTATAACCCTAACCCTAGCTCCAGCCACAACCCTAGCCATAACACTAACCTTAGTCATAACCCTAGCCATAACCCTATAACCCTAACCCTAGCTCCAGGCACAACCCCTACTCTAACCTAATAAATAGTGTGGTCACATCTTTTCTAAACATCATCTCATCGCATCTGTTGGTATGGAACCCTTGAGGCCCCTATATGGCCTCTAGTCATGGAGACATCAGCTTGGGTGACCTTTGAAAAAGGCAATAATTGATAGTGCCTATTGAAAGTCTACACGCTCCTGCACCATCTTCACATTTTGCTACCTTAAAATGTAATCTAAAAAGGGATACAATTTGATATTTTCCCTACAGATGTACACAACCTACTCAAAGTGAAAGAAAATTATAGAAAATGTTTCTAATGATAAAACATTGAAAAACAATGATGTCTTGATTGCGTATGTCTTCACACCCCAGAGTGAATACTTGGTGGAAGCACCTTTGACAGCCTTTACAGCTGTGAATCATTTTGAATAAGATTCTACCAACTTTCACAATTCCTAGGGCAACATACAGTATATCCATTGATTTTGTCAAAATTGCTCAAGTTCAGTAACTTTGGCTGGGAATCATTGATCGACAGCAATATTCAAACCTTGTCTCTGATTTTCAAGCAAAGTCAGGACTGAGACTGGACCACTAAGGAACACTCAACACCTCTTGGAAAGCAATTCTGGTGTGTCTTTGGCATTAAAATTTATTGAAAAAATAAAAATACAAAAATATCCCAGGGTTAGGTTTTAGAAGACTATGGCGGGTTTTCCTCAAACTTTTTACATGGGCTTTGCTCTTTTCATATTTATTTTGATCCTGACAGACTCCCCAGTCTCTGCCGGTGACAACCATAACCATAACATGATGCTGCCGCCACAATACTTGAAAATACAGAGGGTTTCACTCAGTGTTGAATTGGATTTGACCCAAACCATATTTAGTTTTTAATTTAGGACAAAAAGTTAATTCCTTTGCCGTGTTGTCTTGCAGTATTACTTAACGGTCTTATTGCAAACAGAATGGATGATTTGCAGTGGATTTTTTTTTAAACACAGGCTTCCTTCTTTTCACTTTGTCATACAGGCCAGTAATGTGGAGTGAATGCAATGTTGTTGATCCTCTGTATCATTCGCCGCCATCACCTCATGTTTCAGCATGATAATGCACGGCCCCATGTCGCAAGGATCTGTACACAATTCCTGGAAGCTGAAAATGTCCCAGTTCTTCCATAGCCTGCATACTTACCAGACATGTCACCCATTGAGTATGTGTGGGATGCTCTGGATCGACGGGTACGCCAGCGTGTTCCAGTTCCTGCCAATATCCATCAACTTTACACAGCCATTGAAGAGGAGTGGGACAACATTCCACAGGCCACAATCAACAGGGAGATCAACTCTATGTGAAGGAGATGTGTCGCACTGCATGAGGCAAATGGTGGTCACACCAGATACTGACTGGTTTTCTGAATACACGGCCGTACTTCTTTTTTTTTTTTTAAGGTATCTGTGACCAACAGATGCACATCTGTATCCCTAGTCATGTGAAATCCATAGATTAGGGCCCAATTTATTTATTTCAATTGACTGATTTCATTATATGAATTGTAACTCAGTAAAATCTTTGAAATTGTTGCATGTTGCGTTTATATTTTTGTTCAGTATATTTAATACCAGTTTATTATTAATCACCCATTCTGATACTGACTGTAACTCCTTATTTAGAATTTCAGTGAGCTCACTGGCTTTGGGTGCTGACATATAGAGTGTGGATAAGTATTCACACCCGGGTCAATACATGTTAGAATCACCTTTGGCAGCGATTACAGCTCTGAATTTCTGGGTAAGTCTCTAAGAGCTTTGCACACCTGGATTGTACAATATTTGCACATTATTATTTTTAAATTCTTCATGCTCTGTCAGGTTGGTTGTTGATAATTGCTAGACAGCCATTTTCAAGTCTTGCCATAGATTTTCAAGCCGATTTAAGTCAAAGCTGTAACTAGACAACTCAGGAACATTCAATGTCATCTTAGTAAACAACTCCAGTGTATATTTGGCCTTGTGTTTTAGGTTATTGTCCTACTGAAATGTGAATTTGTCTCCCAGGGTCTGTTAGAAATCCTCTAGGATTGTGCCTGTGCTTAGCTCTATTCCGTTTCTTTTTATCCTAAAAATCTGCAGCCACCACCATGCTTGGAAATATGAAGAGTGGTACTCAGTGATGTGTTGTGTTGGATTTGCCCTAAACATAATGCTTTGTATTTAGGACATAAAGTTCAGTTCTTTGCCACAAGATTCCTTCCTTTCACTCTGTCATTTAGGTTAGTATTGTGGAGTAACTACAATGTTGTTGATCCATCCTCAGTTTTTTCCTACCACAGCCATTAAACTCTGTAAATGTTTTAAAGTCACCATGGGCTCATGATGAAATCCCTGAGCGGTTTCTTTCCTCTCCGGTGACTGAGTTAGGAAGGATGCCTGTATCTTTGTAGTGACTGGGTGTATTGATACACCATCCAACGTGTAATTAATAACTTCACCATGCTCTAAGGGATATTCAATGTCTGTATTTTTTTTTACCCATCTACCAATAGGTGCCCTTCTTTGCGAGGCATTGAAAAATCTCCCTGGTCTTTGTGGTTGATTCTGTGTTTGAAAATCACTGCTCGATTGAGGGCCCTTACAAATAATTGTATGTGTGGCAATCGAACCGATAGAACGAACGACCAGTCGGCTTGGGTAGCAACCCTAGATTTGTGTTGGGACTATATCTTATGGAAGGATGAAATAGTATGAATAAATTCATCAAAATAAAGCTAATGAAAATCATTATTTGAATGTGTTGGTAACCTCAACATCGTCTCGGCCCTAACAACACCAGTGCCAATATATCCTCCAAACACTGGCTTCTCAGGCATTATCACTTAGTTAGAGAAGCTTCCATTGAAGAACACTCTCTGGTTTCTATTGGATAAATAACTCCAACCATGTGATGGCAACTGATGTAAAGCCATGGCAATTGAGTTTTTTCAATAACAATTTATAATCAATAACATCAAAGGCTGCACTGAAATCTAACAATACAGCTCAAACTATCATCTTATTATCCATTTATTGTATCCAATTATCAGTAATCTGAGTCAGGGCAGTACAAGTTGAGTGCCCTTCTCTATATGCATGATGAAAGTCAGTAGTTAAGTTGTTCTCTGAAAAATAGCATTTTATTTGGTCAAACACAATCCTCTCCATAAGTTTACTAAGAACAGGCAGCAAACGGATTGGGCGGCTGTTAGAGTCAGCAAAGGGTGCTTTACTTTTTTTAGGCAGTGGAATTACTTTAACTTCCTCCCTGCCTGTGGACACACACACTTCTTTAGGCTTTGGTTAAAGACATAGCAAAAAGGGGTGGCTACCATTCTGAATAGTTTCCCATCAAGGTTGTCTATACCTGGTGGCTTATCAATATTGATGGATAACAATAGTTTTACCACCTTTGTTATAAATGGCACATCAACTTCAATGAACGATGGAGATAAATTGAGTTTTCTGCCCATGATATAATTTAACCTTTTACTGCAGTGGGCTAAATCAGGGTCACACAGAGTGATTCTTGGTAGTCTTAAACAAATCTACTTTGAAACAAATGTATACACCTCACACACATGGTTATGGGCTTAAAAAAAGAAGACAACTGTACCATGTCAGATATAGAGATGAAATGTGTTCAATTTTGAGTTTGCATCCCAATATTACACTTTATATACATCACAGAAGACTGAAATATAACAAAACTGTCTGACATAGAAACACAGTACTTTTGTCTGGTTGTTTTAAATAATATTGATTAATTAAGATATTATGAAAAATATTCATAACATTCCACCCATGAGGCCAAAGAGGGCGCCTTTAATCATTGACTGCAGGAAAGGGCTACCGGGGTATTACACCAAAGTATTTTCCCATTGTGTTTTATGTCATTTATCTTTGTTTGGTAATATAATTTATTCTTATTTTTGTTAAGTTTAGTCACAACTTTTCTCAATTTACACTGTCAACCAATCAGCTGAGCAGGCTGACTTATTTGCCACCTCTTTCACTTAATTTATTTGAACCATACTATTTTTCAATTCATCATCAATCCAGTGGGCTCTAACAGTTCTCACAGTTAGTTTCTTAACAGGTGCATGCTTGTCAACAATTGGCATGAATCATTTTACAAATACTTCCAGTGCTGCATCTGGATTCACTTTCTCATACGCGTCACACCGACATACATTTTTTACATTCTCAGCACAAGAATCCTGAAGAAAACATTTTGTATGATCTCTTATAAATTACTTTAGGCCCAACCTTTGGCACTTTGGCTTTCCTTGTTATTGCCACAATGTTATGGTCACTACAGCCACTACTTTGACACTGACAACTGAGAATCTGAGATCAATAAAAATGCCCTTGTCTTCAATCCATCAATAGCCTAGACCTACAGTAGGTGTGTGGAGACACAGATATTGTGCACTATGAGGAGGAAATTATAGTCCTAAAAAAGCTTTCCAATTTCACTGACTCACCCAATGATGCTGAGTGGCGATGGCCGATTCGCTCGTGCCAAAAGCTTATCTCTCTCTTGTTTTACTTGTTAAAACAATGGTGTTCACTCAATGGGCCTATTTGGAAATTGATAACTTGGTAGCCTACAGACCGATTAGTCTTCTCGTTTCAGCAGGATCCATTTGGTTTCCAACCTGTATTTTCCCGCGATTGTATTTGAAATATTGCGAAAGCCTGTTTTGGCTGCATGCTGTTTACTGACAGATTTGCCGCGCGTTCCCGACTGTAGGCATGCCTCATGATTGGGCTACACGCAATCCACAGCTACAAAATTAAAAATATATATTATAGGCCACCCATCACTAAAGTTGATTTGAATGGTAATGCCTGTTCAACTTCACAAGACAATAGAGTTGAGCGAGTTTAATCCAATATTAATACTAATCTAAAACGTAATCTGCTCCTCTGTCTCCTCAGCTCTGCCACACTGCCTATCACCTTCAAGTGCCTCCTGGAGAACAACCACATCGACCGACGCATCATCCGCTTCGTACTCCCCGTGGGTGCCACCATCAACATGGACGGGACGGCGCTCTATGAGGCCGTGGCGGCCATCTTCATCGCCCAGGTCAACAACTATGAGCTGGACTTTGGCCAGATCATCACCATCAGGTATGTAGCCTATAGTCTTAGGCGGAGGGGAGCGTTAACAAATTACTTGTGAGAGGGTTTTTAGTGTTTTAGGCTGGGATTTAATCAGAAACCTAGCTATAGCGCGTACATTTAAAGGGGCAATCTAAAGTTGCTACATCTATTTTTGGACTTGTGAATTAATGATATGTACATTTTAGTCATTTTAGCAGACGCTCTTATCCAGAGCGACTTACAGTTAGTGAGTGCATACATTTCCATACTGGCCCCCCGTGGGAATCGAACCCACAACCCTGGCGTTGCAAGCGCCATGCTCTACCAATTGAGCTACAGGAGGCCTATAAACCCTATGTACCCATTGATTCTTGAAAAATATAATTTCAAAATGCCTCATGAGCTTACCCAATCAGAACCCAAAATATAGGCTTGTTTTACTCCAATGTTTGTAAACAAAGTAAATGTAAACAAACACTATATAGCCACAAAACATGGTTAAGGGCCAGATTCAATCAGATCCGCTTCAGCCGACATCCTGGGTTAGAGCTGTCAAATCCACAAGTGGCTTCTGGCATTATACCTAAAGCGGACATTTCTCTCATTAAGAGAAAACCCATGCAGCCTTGTTTATAAGTGCGAACACTGGATTGTGAAAAGTAATCTACACCTCAATAAGGCTTATAGAAATCCTCATTATTTCGTTTAATGATTCTCCATTATTTCTATATTGCCTACACTTTCTCGTTCTACACTTTAACACGAGTGGGACGGGTGTGGTTTCGTGACAATGATCACAAGAGCAGCTGTTCACCGATTTGACAGCTCCAACACAGTTTCACCTCCGACACCACCAAAACATCAGCTATGCAGGTGTCGGCTATCGCCGGTTAACACTTGATCTGATTGAATCTAGGCCTAGAAATGTAATTTTGGATATATACATCCATATCATGGATGGTCAGTCCTTGCATCTATGGCTCTGTCTATGAATTTTGAAAGTGTTCACATTTCTTCAGCCCCATCCCAATAGCATTTTACCGAAACAGGGGCAGGGAATGCGCTTTCTTATTGTTTCAACTGCAGATTGACGCTTTAAAGGTAATTTGTAATTGAGCTGACATCTGCAGCATTTACCTTGAATGCGATCTCCACAAACACATTTAAAAGACATATTGTCTACAAGCACGATTGGGTTGAACACTGGCCTTAGTATGAAAATGGATGCATGGGGCATCTCAATTACAATTAGAAACAGACTTATTAAACACGTAGAAAGTAGTTTTGATTAGAACATGTAGTGTAAACAAATGGGTCAAAAACCTGGAGAATTGTTGGAAGATCCGATTACTGCAATGGAATTTCCTAGAATGGAATGGGGTGAAAAATACATGGAATTATCATATTGATTGCTTAATTATCCATTTATGTGTATTCCCTGTGCGGTTACATTTACATTTACATTTACGTCATTTAGCAGACGCTCTTATCCAGAGCGACTTACAAATTGGTGCATCGGTTACATTTTATAGGCACCAATGATAAGCATGTGGAGAATTATTTTGTCCAAAATAGCACCAAGGATTCAACAAATCTGTAGCTTTGCATTTTGTGCAACACAGACATTTATCTGGTGTTACAGTTTTTAGGAAGAATTAATGAATGAACATTATGAGATTATACTGAATCAAACGCATGCAGGCAGACAGGCAGACAGACTAGCCCGGACCCCTCCTCCTCCTCCCAACCTGCAGATCTGCGGTGTAAAATGGCCTTGCTCTCCCCTGATTTAATGGCATGTTAAACTGTAATAACATTAAGCAGACCTATCCTATCCTCATCTACTCGTCACAGACTGCTGCTTTTCAAATGGAACCATATTCCCTATGTAGTGCACTACTTTTGACCAAGGCCCATAGGGCTTTGGTCAAAGGTAGTGCACGTGCACTAGATTGGGAATAGGGTGCCATTTTGGACGCAAACCGACTGTGGCCAGGCAGGCAGTAATCTCCTGGCAGTAAGACCCAAATGACCTGTATTACTCAGCTCTCTTGTCACGGCAGAGTTATCAGGAGGGTTTTTACATTATTTGGTGGCGTCCTGTCTTTTCCTGTGACGTTTGGCTGTTCGTAGCGTAGTGCTGGTCACTCTGTAGGCTGGAGTGTCCAGGGCTCCAGAGATAGACTGTGTCTCAGAGTGTACTCAGAGTGTATGTCCTAAATTTACATGGCACCATGTTCCCTTTATAGTGCACTACTTTTGGCCAGGGTCCATAGGGCTCTGGTCATAAGTAGTGCACTATAAAAGGAATAGGGTGCTATTTGTGACGCAGCCTGTGTGTCAGTATGTTCTCAGAGGCTTCCCAAACAGGGAGGCCAAACGGGACAGAAATTCAGCCATTGTGTCAGATGTCAATTACTGTATCTGTATCTTTGTGTCTGTGTGGGTGCACATTATATACAATCACCACGTCACGCACCAAGAACCAATGGATTCATTAGTCAGTCTGTCTTTCTTCCACTCGCTTTCTCTTGCTCTTTTGTCTTTCTCTTATGGGGAGCATCCCAAATGGCACCCTATTCCCTATTCAGTGCACTTTTTTTGACCAGAGCCCAGTAGTGCACTATATAGGGAATAGGCATTTGGGATGCAGCCATGCACTATATAGGGCAGGGGTCCCCAATTACATTCAGCCATGAGACGATTTTTCCTAAGCGGATGGTCGGGGGACCAGGAACATAGTTAACAATAATTTGTACACTGCAAATTGACCGCAAGAATCCCAAACAGATATAGTACTTAACAAAAACAGAATAATTTCAAACCTTGATTACATTGGGATACAATCACATATGTGACCGTCCGGCTCAATTCGGTCTTATGTAGCAAAATTTGAAATTGTGTTTTTTGCATTAGATAAAAGTAGAGACTTAGAGCTAGAAAATGGTATATAATACACTACAGTTGAGGAACAACGGGAAAGTAATTCTGCTTTGAAAGTTGATAAATGTGTAACCTCACTTGTGAGAAAATGGCCTTTGAATGTTTTGGTACACCTATTGGAGAGCTCTTCTTTGTCTACACCATTCAGCATCGTTCACACCCTCTTAAGCTTTAGCCCCACCCATCTCTTTAAGGGTTGATCCGATCATTCTGTCCTAACAACAGCAGTCAAGCACACATCTAACTGGCTAACGTTGGCTAGCTTGCTAGCTACTTCCAGACACAAAGAGAGAACAGCTCACTGACCATTTTACTCGCCCTAGCAGAGCTGGTTAGGTTGTTTTTATTTTTTTCCAGAGCGTTGGTGACTGTAATTGTGCTGCTGGCAACAATTTACGCTTTTTTGCCTATGTTTACTGACACCGGCCATATACAATGGGTGTTGAGCGTTCGTAAATTCTGCGCTCTGGCACACTCAGACAAGAGTGATCTGAAATCGGAGTAGTTAGCCAGAGCGAATTTACCAGCTAGGTCTATCAACTGTTGTTGCAGTGACATCATTAACATTCTATTGAAATGCACAGTGGAGTCTTTTGTTAAGACAAGTAGCTAGCTAGCTAAACAAGGAACCATAATCCCAACTCATGATGTTACTACCCTGCATGAATCTGCAGGTAGCTAACCAACCAGGTTCATCGTTAGCTAGCTAACATTAGGCTATAACTAGCAAAGCAAATGGCTCTGAGATACTAATAATATTACTACACAGATCATACACGTAACGTTAGCCTGCGAGCCAGCTAGCTAGCGAGCCAGCTAGCTAACGTTAGCTAGCTAGCTAACAGTACACTTTAACTTGAAATGAAAACGAATTTCTAACAAAATTAGAAACGTGTAATATCTGACAATGTAGCTAGCTAGACTATCTTACCTGTATACAAGGATGGACGCTTCTCCCTCTCTGTCACGGATGCCATGGTTGCCCTTAGTTTGAAGATGTAATCCGGAGACAGGTATTTTCTCCATCTCCTTAGCTATCATACTCTAATTCCACAGATTTCAAAACTTGGTCTTCCAGAAAGTGGAGAGCAACACTTATGCAGTTCTACTACCCGATATGTTATTTTTTAAAAGCTGCATTAGACAGGATTACCTACACATACGGGCCAGCTCAAATAGACAGAAGCGTGCTACATGGCTGACCAATCCGAACTCATCTCTCGGCATGTCCAGCCCACTCATTATCTCAGCCAATCATGGCTAGCGGGAAGGTTGCTGTCTTTTTCTGTGGCTAAACCAACTAGGCTCGTAATTTAACAATTTTAAACATATTTACAGATGGCATACAAGTTTGTTATTAAGGCACATGAAAGTTCACATGTTCCAGAAGGCATTTCTGCCCAAAAAATGCATTTAGATTTTAAAAAAAAGTTTACGTTCAAATGGCTCTCCTGTGAAGTAGTGACACGCGACATACGCCTAGTTTCCTGTAACGAGTCACATATGCTTCTCTATTTATGCATGGAAATACTTGGGATCAGATTTACTAAATTAAAATCACTTTGAGCTGATTTCCTGGTGATTTTACAGTCTTTTATGTCCAACATGAAAAGGATTTTAGTGGCCAAATAAAATCACCCACGGGCCGAATTTGGCCTGCGCGCCGCCTATTGGGGAACCCTGATATAGGGAATAGGTGTCACGGTTTCGGCCGAGGCGGCCCCTCCTCCTTGTTCGGGCAGGTTTCGGCGGTCGTCGTCTCCGGAGTACTAGCTGCCACCGCTCTATGTTTCTTGTTTGATTGGTTTTGTCTGTTTGTCACACCTGTTTTGTGTTATGTCTCAATTAGCACCCTATTTAGTTTCCTTGTTGTTAGTTAGATGTTGTGTGTAATTGTTCCATGTCGTGTTGCTGCGCTACATGTATTTTGGTGCGCTATTTTGTGCTTTCCTCCTTGTTTGTTGTTTTGGAGTAGATTACGCACTTGTTTACTGCGCCCGTTTGTATACGCCTGTGCGCGCTTTTCTCGCCTCCGGGCTGGTTGTGGATATTCATTGTGAATTCTACTAAAGTATTTTTGTTGGACTTTACTTCTGCCTCCTGCGCCTGATTCCACACCACACCTACCATAGCAACCCTTGACAGAATTACACACCATTTATGGAATCAGCAGGAGCACCCACCGACATCATGGAGGAGCGTCTGCGCGGTCAAGAGGATCGTATCAACCAGATTGGACACGCCTTGGACCGCGTAATGAACACCCTCCATCGATGGGAAACCAGCGGGGTACCCACACCCCCACCTATCGCACCATCACCATCGGACAGCCCGCCCGTCCAACTACCGGAACCCAGTGGGATTCGGCTCTCGCTCCCGAGGGCGTACGACGGGTGATGGGTGTCAGGGGTTCCTATTACAAGTGGAACTCTACCTTGCCACCATACACCCGGCGCCCTCGGGATACGAGAGCGTTTCCGCCCTCATCTCCTGTCTCACCGGCAAGGCGTTGGAGTGGGCCAACGCCGAATGGAGGGGAATAGACGCCGCCACAGTCACCTATGCTGAGTTCTCCCGCCGCTTCCGTGCTGTCTTCGACCATCCACCAGAAGGGAAGGCGGCGGGGGAGCGTCTATTCCACCTCCGACAGGGGATGAGGAGCGCTCAAGAATTTGCGCTGGAGTTCCAGACTCTAGCGGCCGATGCAGGGTGGAATGAGAGGGCCCTCATAGACCACTTTAGATGCAGCCTTCGGGAGGACGTCCACAGAGAGTTAGCGTGCAGGGATACTACACTAACATTTGACCAGCTGGTGGACATGGCCATTCGGCTGGACACCCTGCTCGCGAACCGCGGACGTCCCAGGTGGGGGCCTCCCATTCCACCCTCCAGCGCCTCCGAGCAGAGCCCGATGGAGCTTGGAGGTGCTGGCGCTAGAGGGAAGAGAGGAAGGAACCCGAGGGGGGCAGTCTCCTGCACCAACTGTGGCCGCGGAGGGCACACCGCGGCTAGGTGCTGGGGAGGGTCCCCTGGTGAGGGAGATGGCAGGTCACACATTGGGGAGTCCTCCCAGGTGAGTAGGCGCCCTACTTACCCAGAGCTTTCTGTCGTACACATTACATTACCTGTTTGTTTCCCACAGGTTGCACCTCGTTCCCAGCATAAGGCGCTAGTCGATTCAGGCGCAGCTGGGAATTTTGTAGATCGTAATTTCTGTGTTAAGTTAGGGATTTCCCTCCTTCCAGTCGATAAACCCTTCCCTGTACATGCCTTAGATAGTCGTCCGTTAGGATCTGGGTTAATTAGGGAGGTCACGGCGCCACTTAGGATGATGTTGCAGGGGGGTCATGAGGAGACGATTCAACTCTATCTGATCGACTCTCCTGCGTATCCGGTGGTACTGGGGCTTCCCTGGTTGATTACCCATGATCCTACGATTTCGTGGCGAGAGAAGGCTCTTAAAGGGTGGTCTGCTCAGTGTGAGGGGCTATGTCTGGGTGTTTCCGTAGGGGCGACCTCGGTGGAGAGCCCGAACCAGATGCCAGCACTGCACATTCCGCCTGAGTATGAGGATTTGGCACTCGTGTTTAGTAAGACCAGAGCGGCAAGGTTGCCACCTCATACATTTACATTTTAGTCATTTAGCAGACGCTCTTATCCAGAGCGACTTACAGTTAGTGCATACATTTTTATTTTTTATACTGGAATCGAACCCACAACCCTGGCGTTGCAAACACCATGCTCTACCAACTGAGCTACATCCCTGCCGGCCATTCCCTCCCCTACCCTGGACAACGCTGGGCCAATTGTGCGCCGCCCCATGGGTCTCCCGGTCGCGGCCGGCTACGACAGAGCCTGGATTCGAACCAGGATCTCTAGTGGCACAGCTAGCACTGCGATGCAGTGCCTTAGACCACTGCGCCACTCGGGAGGACAGGGGGATTGTGCGATAGACCTCCAGACAGGAGCTGCGCTCCCGCGGAGCCATGTGTATCCTTTGTCACAGGAGGAGAAAAGGGCAATGGAGACTTACATTGCCGAGTCTCTGAGACAGGGATACATACGGCCCTCCACTTCTCCCGCGTCCTCGAGCTTCTTTTTTGTGAAGAAAAAGGATGGAGGTTTGCGTCCGTGTATTGATTACCGCGGTCTCAATCAGGTGACTGTGAAATAGTTATCCACTCCCGCTGATTGCGACCATGACGGAGTCATTACACGGGGCACGGTTTTTCACAAAATTGGACCTCAGGAGCGCATATAACTTGGTGCGCATTAGGGAGGGCGATGAGTGGAAGACAGCATTTAGTACTACCTCCGGCCATTACGAGTATCTCGTCATGCCATATGGGTTAATGAATGCTCCATCAGTCTTCCAATCGTTTGTAGATGAGATTTTCCGGGACATGCAGGCGCAGGGAGTAGTGGTGTACATAGATGATATTCTTGTGTACAGTTCTACTCGGGCCGAGCATGTAGCCCTGGTGCGCAGGGTATTGAGGAGACTGTTGGAGCATGACCTGTATGTCAAAGCCGAGAAATGTCTGTTCTTCCAGGAGTCAGTTTCCTTTTTGGGTTATCAGTTGTCTGCGTCAGGGGTGAAAATGGAGGTGGACCGAGTGTCCGCCGTGCGTAATTGGCAAACCCCAACTACGGTTAAAGAGGTGCAGCGGTTCTTGGGTTTTGCGAATTACTACCGAAGGTTTATCCGGGGTTTTGGACAGGTGGCAGCTCCCATAACGTCTCTTCTTAAGGGGGGTCCGGTGCGCTTGCAGTGGTCGGCTGAGGCGGACAGGGCCTTTGGGAGACTGAAGGACCTGTTTACCTCGGCTCCGGTGCTGGCGCACCCGGATCCCACGTTACCCTTCCAAGTAGAGGTGGACGCGTCTGAAGTCGGTATCGGGGCAGTTCTTTCCCAACGGTCCGGCACACCACCTAAGCTCCGCCCCTGTGCTTTTTATTCTAAGAAGCTCAGTCCGGCGGAGCGGAACTATGACGTAGGGGACAGGGAGCTGTTAGCCGTAGTACAGGCCCTAAAGGTGTGGAGGCATTGGCTTGAGGGGGCTCAGCACCCTTTCCTCATTCTGACCGACCATCGTAACCTGGAATACATTCGGGCAGCTAGGAGACTGAATCCTCGCCAGGCTCGATGGACTATGTTTCTCGCCCGGTTTGTGTTCAAGATCACTTACATCCCTGGGTCCCAGAACGGGAAGGCAGATGCCCTGTCCCGGCGGTATGACACGGAGGAGGGGTGCGTGGAGCCCATTCCCATACTACCGGAGTCTTGTCTGGTGGCACCGGTGGTGTGGGAGGTCGATGCGGAGATCGAGCGGGCATTACGCACCGACCCTAGCCCTCCACAGTGTCCGGTGGGTCGGACGTACGTCCCGCTCGAGGTCCGGGATCGGCTGATTTATTGGGCTCACACGTCCCCCTCTTCTGGACATCCAGGTATTGGCCGGACAGTGCACTGCCTTAGTACGAAGTACTGGTGGCCAACGTTAGCCAGGGATGTGAGGGTTTATGTCTCCTCCTGCTCAGTGTGTGCCCAGTGTAAGGCGCCCAGACATTTGCCCAGGGGTAAATTACAACCCCTGCCCGTTCCACAACGACCCTGGTCCCACCTCTCGGTGGATTTTGTTACAGACCTTCCCCTCTCACAGGGGAATACTACCATCCTGGTCGTTGTGGATCGGTTCTCGAAGGCCTGTCGTCTCCTTCCCATGCCGGGTCTTCCTACTGCCCTACAGACCGCTGAGGCTCTATTTACTCACGTCTTCCGGCATTACGGGGTACCCGAGGATATAGTGTCCGATCGAGGCCCCCAGTTTACCTCCAGGGTCTGGAGAGCCTTTATGGAACGGTTGGGGGTCTCGGTGAGCCTTACCTCGGGTTACCACCCGGAGAGTAATGGGCAGGTCGAACGAGTCAACCAGGATGTGGGTAGGTTTCTGAGGTCATATTGTCAGGGCCGGCCGGAGGAGTGGGCGAGATATGTGCCCTGGGCCGAGATGGCACAGAACTCTCTCCGCCACTCCTCCACGAGACTAACCCCTTTCCAGTGTGTGTTAGGGTACCAGCCGGTTCTGGCACCTTGGCATGAGAGCCGGATCGAGGCCCCTGCTGTGGATGAGTGAGTGCGGCGCTCGGAGGAGATGTGGAACGCTGCACACGTCCATCTGCAGCGAGCCATCCGTCGACAGAAGACGAGCGCCGACCTACACCGCAGTGAGGGGCCAGTGTACGCACCTGGAGATCGAGTCTGGCTCTCAACCAGAAACCTGCCCCTCCGCCTGCCCTGCCGGAAGCTGGGTCGGCGGTTTGTGGGGCCTTTTAAAGTCCTGAGGAGATTGAACGAGGTGTGTTACAGGTTACAACTGCCCATTGATTACAAGAATATTAACCCCTCGTTCCATGTGTCTCTCCTCAGGCCGGTGGTAGCTGGTCCACTCCAGGACTTTGAGATTGAGGAGACTCCTCCGCCCCCGTTGGACATCGAGGGGGCTCCGGCGTACACTGTTCGGACCATCCTGGATTCGAGACGCCGGATGGGGGGTCTCCAATATCTCGTGGAGTGGGAGGGGTACGGTCCGGAGGAGCGGTGCTGGGTGCCGAGGAGGGACATTCTGGATCCGTCCCTGCTGACTGAATTCCATCGTGGTCATCCTACGCGCCCTGCTCCGCGTCCTCCGGGTCGTCCCCGAGGCCGGGGGCGGCGCACGGCTGGAGCCGCGCGTCAAGGGGGGGGTACTGTCACGGTTTCGGCCGAGGCGGCCCCTCCTCCTTGTTCGGGCAGGTTTCGGCGGTCGTCGTCTCCGGAGTACTAGCTGCCACCGCTCTATGTTTCTTGTTTGATTGGTTTTGTCTGTTTGTCACACCTGTTTTGTGTTATGTCTCAATTAGCACCCTATTTAGTTTCCTTGTTGTTAGTTAGATGTTGTGTGTAATTGTTCCATGTCGTGTTGCTGCGCTACATGTATTTTGGTGCGCTATTTTGTGCTTTCCTCCTTGTTTGTTGTTTTGGAGTAGATTACGCACTTGTTTACTGCGCCCGTTTGTATACGCCTGTGCGCGCTTTTCTCGCCTCCGGGCTGGTTGTGGATATTCATTGTGAATTCTACTAAAGTATTTTTGTTGGACTTTACTTCTGCCTCCTGCGCCTGATTCCACACCACACCTACCATAGCAACCCTTGACAATAAGGTGCCATTTGGAATGCATCCATGGTTATATGATATCATTTGGGAGGTTTTGGAGACTGTACAGATTTGTCCTAATCCAGTCAAGGTCACTGGTGTAATTTCCTCTCTCTCTTGATCCCAGTATCACAGCCACAGCTGCCAGTATTGGTGCAGCTGGAATTCCGCAGGCCGGACTGGTCACCATGGTGATCGTGCTAACCTCAGTGGGCCTGCCCACTGATGACATCACACTTATCATTGCTGTGGATTGGGCGTTGTAAGTACACAACGCTTCTGTTTGGTCTTCACGCCCAGTTTCTATTTATATTTGACATAATAAAAGTTGATAAAGGGTGAATAAAGTTAAACCTAAGCAAAGTTGGCCGTATTTTACAAAGTCAATAAAAAACTGGTTTTATAGAATCTTATTATTAAGAATAACATTGTACTGAGATATTACGAGAAGTTGATTTTAAAATATATACTATAGTGATCTCAATATGCCACAAAAACTGTGGTACTGTAATGTGTTACTAGTGCTCTCACAACACTACTAGACTGTAGCTTCAGTGTGTGTGCAGTGCACCAACAGAGCCTCCCACCACCACCAAGGCAGCTGAACCTATTTTTGTGTTCCAGAGACCGTTTCAGGACCATGGTCAACGTGATGGGAGACGCTCTGGCCACGGGGATCATGGCTCACATCTGTAGAAAAGACTTTATCAAGGAGGGAGAGCAGGTGAGAGAAACTCTGTTTCTCAATATGCATTCTACCGTACACTCATGCTCCGAGTGCATTCTCTGAAGACGTTCTCTTGAGTACGTCCTTGTGAGGACGAGAGTGTGGAGAATGCATAAAACATTACATTTGAGAAGCACTCGCACTCCCCCTACTGTATTACCTCACGCTTCACCTCCCCATTCACTGAACCTTCTTCCAGCCAGGACAATCGTAACAATAGACGAAACAAGATATACACAAAGCAAACGTTTTACTTCATAACTATCTTCTAGCTAGCTATAGTGCATTCGGAAAGTATTCAGACCCCTTTACTTTTTCCACATTTTGTTACGTTACAGCCTTATTCTAAAATGGATTTAATATAAAAATGTCCTCATCAATCTATTTACATAGGTATTCAGACCCTTTGCTATGAGACTCGAAATTGAGTTCAGGTGCATCCTGTTTCCATTGATCATCCTTGAGATGTTTCTACAACTTGATTGGAGTCCACTGTGGAAAATTCAATTAATTGGACATGATTTGGAAAGGCACACACCTGTCTATATAAGGTCCCACAGTTGACAGTGCATGTCAGAGCAAAAACCAAGCCATGAGGTCGAAGGAATTGTCCGTAGAGCTCCGAGACAGGATTGTGTCGAGGCACAGATCTGGGGAAGTGTACCAAAACATTTCTGCAGCATTGAAGCTTCCTAAGAACACAGTGGCCTCTATTCTTAAATGGAATAAGTTTGGACCTACCAAGACTCTTCCTAGAGCTGGCCGCCAGGCCAAACTGAGCAATCGGGGGAGAAGGGCCTTGGTCAGGGAGGTTACTAAGAACCCAATGGTCACTCTGAGATGGGAGATGGGAGAACCTTCCAGAAGGACAAACATCTCTGCACCATTCCACCAATCAGGCCTTTATGGTAGAGTGGCCAAACGGAAGCCACTCCTCAGTAAAAGGCACATGACAGCCAGCTTGGAGTTTGCCAAAAGGCACCTAAAGGACTCTCAGACCATGGGAAACAAGATTCTCTGGTCTGATGAAACCCAGATTGAAGTCTTTGGCCTGAATGCCAAGCATCCCTATGGTGAATCCCTATGGTGGTGGCAGCATCATGCTGTGGGGATGTTTTTCAGCGGCAGGGACTGGGAGACTAGTCAGGATCGAGGGAAAGATGAACGAAGCAAAGTACAGAGCGATCCTTGATGAAAACTTGTTCCAGAGTGCTCAGGACCTCAGACTGGGGCGAAGGTTCACCTTCCAACAGGTCAACGACACACAGCCAAGACAACGCAGCAGTGGCTTCGGTACAAGTTTCTGAATGTACTTGAGTGGCCCAGCAAGAGCCCGGACTTGAACCCGATCAAACATCTCTGGAGAGACCTGAAAATAGCTGTGCAGCGACGCTCCCCATCCAAATTGTAGCGTCATACCCAAGAAGACTCGAGGCTGTAATCACTACCAAAGGTGCTTCAACAAAGTACTGAGTAAAGGGTCTAAATACTTATGTAAATGGAATTTAAACGTTTTTTATTTGTAATAGATTTGCAAAAAAATAAAAAAAACAGTTTTTGCTTTGTCATTATGGGGTTTTGTGTGTACAGTGGGGAAAAAATGATTTAGTCAGCCACCAATTGTGCAAGTTCTCCCACTTAAAAAGATGAGAGAGGCCTGAAATTTTCATCATAGGTACACGTCAACTATGACGTATGGTCAGATGAAACCAAAATATAACTTTTTGGTAAAAACTCAACTCGTCGTGTTTGGAGGACAAAGAATGCTGAGTTGCATCCAAAGAACACCATACCTACTGTGAAGCATGGGGGTGGAAACATCATGCTTTGGGGCTGTTTTTCTGCAAAGGGACCAGGACGACTGATCCGTGTAAAGGAAAGAATGAATGGGGCCATGTATCGTGAGATTTTGAGTGAAAACCTCCTTCCATCAGCAAGGGCATTGAAGATGAAACGTGGCTGGGTCTTTCAGCATGACAATGATCCCAAACACACCGCCCGGGCAACGAAGGAGTGGCTTCGTAAGAAGCATTTCAAGGTCCTGGAGTGGCCTAGCCACATCAACACCCAAGAGATCCACAGATTTATATTGCACTCCACACTGCCCTCACCCACATTGACAAAATGAATACCTATGGAAGAATGATGTTTATTGACTACAGCTCAGCATTCAACACCATAGTCCCTCCAAAGCCCATTACCACGCTCAGGACCCTGGTACTGAACACCTCCCTCTGCAACTGGATCCTGGACTTCCTGACGGGCTGCCCCCAGGCGTTGAGGGTAGGCAACAACACATCCGCCACGCTGACCATCAACATGTGGGCCCCTCAGGGGCAGGGGCGGCCTGTTCAATAGGGCGATATGGGCGACGCACTGCCAAACGGGAAAAGGAAGGGATTTTTTTTCTAATCAATTATATCACGGCAACAGTAGTTATCAGTGTTGTAATCTATACGTCTGATCTGCCACAGTGCCACACTGCCACTAAATGTCGAATCAGGCTAAAGTCGTGCTTCAAATGGCTCCCCCCCCTTTTGGGGCGATTTCAGTCAGGTTGAAAATCGCCCAGAAGTCTCTCATAGCCTCTAATGTAAAATCTATTTTTTTCAAATTTCAGAGCCTTCAATACAATCTCTATGGGTGTCTGAGGGCTTGCACTTACGCGCTTTCGTCATACGTAACGTAACGTAACCATGAACGTAACTGAGAAAAGAGCGGATTGTGTCTTTGAAAGAAGTTCCTTTTTGTCGGCGAACAAATGAAGATAAATTGGCAACGAAACAATTAGGACCTCCCAGACCAAATTTAATAATTCAACAGGTTTCTACTAAAGGCGGAAAGTCCTACACCCGAGGATTTTCCAAAAATTGGTACGAACGGAAAAATAACATTGCCACTCAACTTGATGAGGGATACAGGCTAGCTGTCCGCCGCCACAACGATGAGGTTAGTGTTGATAATCACAAGTTTACTGGAGAACTGAGACCAAGTAGAGACTTTGGACAGGGTGGATATGGTATAATAAAGGCAGTTTATTCAGAGGTAAAGATATCTGGAATCGCGTGCACGGACCCGTTCGTCAAACTCTTAGGGAGCTATAAATTAAGCCCCATTACTTACCATATCAGATAAGAGAAATTGCTGCAGCTACATATATTTTACATCCTGGCCCTACATAGTTCACTATTTGCATCACTTACCAAAATATTACATGTGGTCATATATGCTTGGAAAGTGGAGATGCCATAGAACGTCAAAAAAGTAAACATTGCTGGAGACACATTGCCGTTTTGGAGAAGACATCGCGTTTGCTAGCGAAGAGATTTGTTGTGGCAAATGAACTTGGGCTGGGATAAGATATATGCATCAGCATTGCGAGTCTCATGATTCTATACGTATTGCGATTCGATACTGTGATTTTATTGCGCACCATATGTCTGTTGCAGAGGGATCAGAAAGCCATGAGAACGAGTTTTGATCAGTCATGGAAATAAAAGTGCTGAAAACAAATTGGCTCCCAATGTGAAAAGATTGAGAACAAGCTATGAAGGAACAATAATGGTGTTTTGGTGCAGGTACAGCCAACTAGCGCTAAAATATTGCGATATTGTCAATACAGTATATCGTAAAGTATCACTATGTAACTCGATTTCTTTCACCCCAATCCCTCAAATTAACGGTAAATAACTGAATTGTTTGCCCCACATTTAGCTAAGATGATTAGCTAGCCAGCTAAAATGTTTTATTTAGTTAGCAGTCGCATCTACAATAGTTTACTGTCAATAACATGTCTCCAAAAATGACGTGGTGTCTCCAATTGTGTTGACATTTTACAATTGCGATGCGCATCCATGAGTATCCACTTTCTGTAGCTCAGCTGGTAGAGCACGGCGCTTGTAACGCCAAGGTAGTGGGTTCGATCCCCGGGACCACCCATACACAAAAATGTATGCACGCATGACTGTAAGTCGCTTTGGATAAAAGCGTCTGCTAAATGGCATATTATTATTATTATTATTATTATTATCTGAAGAGAGCCCCGAAACATTGTGTGCTGACATTTTATGCAATAAATGAAGTAGGTTGAATCTAGTAGTTCTGATCTTCTGATTGGTCCTGATGAGTTGGGCGAGGTCCCCTCCAGGCTACTGTCACTGTTGCATTGGCTCTGAGTCGGGTTCTCTGTCTTCAAATGTTCAGCCTAAGAGAGGGGATTTTTGTGTGTGTGTGTGTGTGTGTGTGTTTAACAGTGATGATGTGTGTGTGTGTGTGTGTGTGTGTGTGTGTGTGTGTTTAACAGTGATGATGTGTGTGTGTGTGTGTGTGTTTGTGTGTGTGTGTGTGTGTGTCCTCAGAGCAAGAACTCGTGAGTTGGAAGAACTGAGAGGCCTATGGCGTGGGTGTTGTCCTTGGCCACCTGCTGACAAGGCTGACAAGATAGGACCCTTTTGTCCATTGTTATTGGATAGGAACAGAACTTATAACCAGCTCCTGACCTAAATAGATCTTAGCACAACATTTTACTCAACATATCATATTCCATATTCACTATAACAAATATATTTACTACGACATTAGCAAGAACCGCCACATCCTCAGCCGGCTAATCCAGTGTGTGAAGTTTTGCGGCGTGTTTGAGTTAGCTTTGCGAGGCAAAGATGAAACTGAGGGCTCCACCAACCCTGGTAAGCCAACACTTTTGAGATCAGTCAATAAATGCTTCTGGTATTGACTTATATGCTGCCCCTGTCTTCATGTTGTTGCTGGACATATCTTTTTTAAAATGTGTGTAGGTCACCTAAATCATCAGAAAAATTGCCCCCCCTGAGAATTTTTTCAGGAGCCGCCAATGCTCAGGGGTGTGTGCTTAGTCCCCTCCTGTGATTTGATTGATTTACCAAAACCCTCATGACAAGCTGAAATCGCTGAGGCGTACACCTTCATAGTGGACCAAAGGCGGCAATGCGCATTGGCTCACGACGCGAACAGATCTATGTCGGCTCTCCCGAACAGTGCTACTCGTTATCCCGAGGACCCCCTTGAGACATGAGGTCCGCCCCCTCATTGAGGTAGTCTGGGATATGACGGGCTGTCAAGGAGTGAAGGCGCCAGTGCACCCACAACCACAATCTCTTTGCCAGCTGGTAGAGCGCAACACATTGCGGCCCTGAAGCCTAGGAGCGAAATGTTGCAGAACCATCAGCACCGTCTCTTGCTCTAGGAGATTGATGTGGCGATTCTCCAATGGAGGCCACACATCCCCCACTGCTCGATTCTGGCATGTCCCCCCCATCCAGTCAGAGAAGCATCTGTATAGACTGGAATGTGAGAGGAGACTCTTCCCATCAGGACACCACGTGTACAGATCCGCCCTGAGGTTGCTGGGAACGACCAACAGCCGGCGACGATGACGCACAGGGTCTAGTCGCAAGTAAGCCAACACTCCCAAGTAAGCCAACATTACGCACTTGGGGCCAGGGAGTACCTAAACGGCTCCCTCATGTATTCGTACAATATTCCCCGGAAGTCGAAGCAGAGAAACTTCCCGTGGCACAGTTTCACCGGCACATGAAAGTACACGTCCTTCAGGTCTATACTCTTGCAAAAGTTGTTTAGGTGGATACATTCCATCAGACGCTTTGACGTGAGCGAAAAGGCTGTTTGGCTAATCTCTCGGTCAGGGTGCGCTGGCCAGTGGTGGAAAAAGTACCCTATTGTCATACTTGAGTAAAAGTGTAGATACCTTAATAGAAAGTTACTCAAGTAAAAGTGAAAGTCACCCAGTAAAATAGTACTTGAGTAAATGTCTAAAAGTATTTGGTTTTAAATATACTTAAGTATCAAAAGTAAATATAATTGCTCAAATATACTTAAGTATCAAAAGTAGAAGTAAAAGTATAAATAATTTCAAACTCCTTATGTTAAGCAAAGCAGACTGCTCCATTTTCTTGTTTTTAAAATTGACGGATAGCCAGGGGCACACTCCAATACTCAGACATTATTTGCAAAAGATGTATTTGTGTTTAGTGAGTCCACCAGACCAGAGGCAGTACGGATGACCACGTGTTCTTTTGATAAGTGCATGAATTTCACAATTTTCCTGTTCTGCTAAGCATTCAAAATGTAACGAGTACTTTTGGTTGTCAAGGAAAATGTATGGAGTAAAAAGTACAATATTTTCTTCAGGAATGTAGTGAAGTAAAAGTAAAAGTTGTCAAAAATAGAAATAATAAAGTAAAGTACAGATACCCCCAAAAATGACTGAAGTAGTACTTTAAAGTATTTTTACTTTAAAGAGGCTCAGTCTTTTTTGGAACCACGAAATAGGGCGAGTAAAGCCCCTTGTTTCTCTGTTCCGAGGGAACCACTGTATCCGCCTCCTTTGACAGTAGCTCCGCAATCTCTAATTTTAGAGCCGCGACTTTCTCTGTCGATGACATCACCATCTCCACCACTCCCGTGTAGGGAGGAGGAGACCAGTGAAATTGGATAGTGTAACCCAGTCTTAGCGTTTGTTTTAACCAGGATGGAGAGTGCTGCTTTGACGCCACTCCCAATAATGCTGCGAGAGCAGGAGAGCGTGCAGCTGGGGAACGTTTAGTAGAAACTATCTGTATTCCTCTATGGTCCTGCCCGCCACTGGCCACTGGTCGTAACACGGTGGCACAGCCCATGGTGGCCCCTTGTGAAAGGGAGAGGAAACAGCCTGGTTCTGTGGAAGCCGGCGGTGCTGATACAATGGTTACATGCGTAACGCCAGTAACAGCGCCTCCTGATAGCATAGAGCCATGCTCAGGCTGTGGGCTCATATGTGGGCCAGAGGTTGTCCCCGCTGCCTGCCAAAAAGAGGCTGCTGGCGGGTCGGAACCCTTGCTGTCACACGCGCTGTTTGCTCTGACGAGTGCCGGGTGCATGAACCAGAGTTATGTGTGTCTATGACCGGGGGCCGGACGCCTCTGGATAGATAGAGAGAGAGAGGGAGAGGAGCAACCTGAGAGATCTTAGGTTTGCCATGGAAAAAGGGCTCTTTTGTGTCATTGTCCTAAAATAATGCCATCTCTTTATTACAAATAGACAAAGTATCCAACAGGAGGGTGAGGAATGACAGAAGGAAAGCCGGCTACAGTCGGGTCCTCCATCTGCTCCCCCGCGTTGCGTCAAACGCAGCGTCGCTTCTGATCACGAGGGTTTTGCCTTTGTGCTTTTGCCGGCGTGTACTGCTGGGCAGGAGGGTCGGCGCTGGGGCAGCTGGAACAGCAGGAGTGTTGCTTGGAGCTGTCGCCTAGCGGCAGGCATGCCGCTGAGCTGTAGACCCCGGTCTCTGGGAAGAGGAGGATGAGGAGGACAGCTGCCGGTGCTGCGCGGCTGACGTAGCCAGAGGCAGATATTTAGCCAGCTGCTTCCTCCCTCCAATTTTCTAAAGCGCTCAGTCGCCTGCACCACGGCGGCCCCGTAAAGGGCTTTCTTGGAAATAGGCGCGTTGAGCAGCTTGTTTCTCTCCGGCTAATTCATGGCAGTGAGAGAGAGCCACAGGTGCTGGTGAGTCACGATAGATGTAGCCATTTCCCGTCCAGCGCAGATGAGCAACAGCGTCTTTGATTTGAATTTCTTCAGTGAAGAACGCCTAAAGAATGGCTGCATCACCACTTGGTATGGCAACTGCTCGATATCCGACCACAAGGCACTACAGAGGGTAGTGTGTACGGCCCAGTACATCACTGGGGCCGAGCTCCCTGCCATTCAGGACCTCTATACCAGGTGGTGTCAGAGGAAGGCCCTAAAAATTGTCAAAGTCTCCAACCACCCAAGTCATAGACTGTTTTCTCTGCTACCACACGGCAAGCGGTATCGATGCAGGACCATGAACAGCTTCTACCCACAGGCCATAAGACTACTAAATAGTTAATCAAATTGCTACCCGGACTATTTGCATTGACCCCCTTTTTTACGCTGCTGACACTCACTGTTTATTATCTATGCATAGTTACTTTACCCCTACCTACATGTTCATATTACCTAAATTACCCCGACTAACCTGTACCCCGCATATTGACTCGGTACCGGTGTCCCCTGTAAATAGCCTCGTTATTATTATTTTATTGTTACTTTTTTTAAACTTTAGTTTATTACTTTTTTTTAAACATATTTTCTTACTTACTTTTAAAAAACTCTGCATTGTTGGTTAAGGGCTTGTAAGTAAGCATTTTAGGGTAAGGTCTGCATCTGTTGTATTCAGCGCATGTGACAAATACAATTTAAATTGAAGTTATTTCCCAATCTCTCTGTTGAATACAGATATTAAGATTCTTCCTTAGAGTTCTATTTGCATAGGGAATTATTTTGGTTTGGCATTATTTCACGGATTGGTTTATTCTACATTTATGGGTGGGCTATGAAGACATGTAGTTATGAGATAAAATAACATTAAAACAAAGTTTCAATTGCAACTTACAATATATCCAAGTGTGTTGGCCGTTTTAAATGTTTGGTTTCTTTGTACCTCCCATTGCGTCCTGACATTTGAACCAGCAGTGGACCTATCTATTTGTTTTGCATTGGGAATTCTTTGCTTTAGCACAAATTCACGGATTGGTTCCTTCTTCTACCTCCCGTTGTCTTTTACCCCCTTCAGGTGCCTTTGATCTGCGAGACCAAGCCCATGATCAGCATCCAGCAGATGACGTACCAGAAGAATGGTGTGCACCAGCCCACTCCCTGTGGACCGGGGGGCCCAGATGTGGCTCGTCTGATGCAGCTGGAGGAGGGGGTTCGGCCGGAGCAGAGGAAGAGGAACCCCCACGCTCCCCAACACCAGAGGGAGCACAAGGACAAGGACCACTGCTCCATCGACATGAACGGCCTGGAGACCAACGTATAGACAGAGTTATCATTGAGCTGCATCCTGATTCTTCACACTTCTCCTTAAGTGTGCATTTGCACACTCCCCGTCATGGATCTAATAATGGTGGATCTAACAACTCCCTCCAGCCAATTCTTAGCCTACACCAATCCTACGCTTTGAAATCCATGATGAGAAGTGGGAAAGTGCATACTTTGGAAAAAGTGTGGAGAATCAGAATGCAGCCAGTATCATAGCTACAGGGGAGAGAGGGAGAGAGGAAGGACTGACTGACTGCACCAGAGCTCGGGACGACCAACCCGACCTTTGCTGGCACACTATGGCCCACTGTGGATGCCATTCAGAGGATGTGTAAAGAAAATACGATTTTCTACATTATTTATATTACAACCCACTATGATTGTGTATATTTTTGTGTATATATTTATAAGACTTATTATACTATGCGCCAGCAGCAGAGTGATATGGTGGGAGACATTCTATATGAAGAGCAGACATTACATACAATGAGAAGACGTTCTACACAGTTTATTTGGTACACCACCCTGTTCACGAAAATTGTTTGCTCTTACAGCCAGTGAGTCATGTGGCCGTGGCTTGATACAGTTGAAGTCGGAAATTTACATACACCTTAGCCAAATACATTTAAACTCAGTTTTTCACAATTCCTGACATTTAATCCTAGTAGAAATTCCCTGTCTTAGGTCAGTTAGGATCACCACTTTATTTTAAGAATGTGAAGTGTCAGAATAATAGTAGAGAAATGATTTATTTCAGCTTTTATTTCTTTCATCACATTCCCAGTGGGTCAGAAGTTTACATACACTGAATTAGTATTCGGAAGCATTGCCTTTCAATTGTTTAACTTGGGTCAAACGTTTTGGGTAGCCTTCCACAAGCTTCCCACAATAGGTTGGGTGAATTTTGGCCCATTCCTCCTGACAGAGCTGGTCTAACTGAGTCAGGCTTGTAGGCGTCCTTGCTCTCACACGCTTTTTCAGTTCTGACCAAACATTTTCTATAGGATTGAGGTTAGGGCTTTGTGATGGCCACTCCAATACCTTGACTTTGTTGTCCTTAAGCCATTTTGCCACAACTTTGGAAGTATGCTTGGGGTCATTGTCCATTTGGAAGACACATTTGCGACCAAGCTTTAACTGACTGAGATGTTGCTTCAATATATCCACATAATATTCCTTCCTCATGATGCCATCTATTTTGTGAAGTGCACCAGTCCCTCCTGCAGCAAAGCAACCCCACAGCATGATGCTGCCACCCCCGTGCTTCACGGTTGGGATGGTGTTCTTCGGCTTGCAAGCCTACCCCCTTTTTCCTCCAAACATAATGATGGTCATTATGGCTAAACAGTTCTATTTTTGTTTCATCAGACCTGAGGACATTTCTACAAAAATTACGATCTTTGTCCCAATGTGCAGTTGCAAACCGTAGTCTGGCTTTTATGCCGGTTTTGGAGCAATGGCTTCTTCCTTGCTAAGCGACCTTTCATGTTATGTCGATATAGGACTCGTTTTACTGTGGATATAGATACTTTTGTACCTGTTTCCTCCAGCATCTTCACAAGGTCCTTTGCTGTTGTTCTGGGATTGATTTGCACTTTTCGCACCAAAGTGCGTTTATCTCTAGGAGACAGAATGCGTCTACTTCCTGAGCGGTATGACGGCTGTGTGGTCCCATGGTATTTATACTTGCATACTATTGTTTGTACAGATGAACGTGGTACCTTCAGGCATTTGGAAATTGCTCCCAAGGATGAACAAGACTTGTGGAGGTCTACAATTTTTTTTCTGAGGTCTTGGCTGATTTCTTTTGATTTTCCCATGATGTCAAGCAAAGAGGCGCTGAGTTTGAAGGTAGGCCTTGCAATACATCCACAGGTACACCTCGAATTGACTCAAATTATGTCAATTAGCCTATCAGAAGCTTCTAAAGCCATGACATCATTTTCTGGAATTTTCCAAGCTGTTTAAAGGCACAGTCAACTTAGTGTATGTAAACTTCTGACAAACTGGAATTGTGATACAGTGAATTATAAGTGAAATAATCGGTCTGTAAACAATTGTTGGAAAAATGACTTGTGTCTTGCACAAAGTAGATGTCCTAACCGACTTGCCAAAAATATAGTTTATTAACAAGAAATTTGTGGAGTGGTTGAAAAATTAGTTTGAATGACTCCAACCTAAGTGTACATTTACATTTACATTTACGTCAATTAGCAGACGCTCTTATCCAGAGCGACTTACAAATAGGTGCATTCACCTTATAGCCAGTGGGATAACCACTTTACAATGTATTCAAACTGTTTTTTTTTTTTTTTTTCTTATATAAAAAAAAAACAATTGGGGGTGGGTTGGAGTAAAGGGGGGGGGGGGGGGGGGGGGGGGGGGTAGAAGGATTACTTTATCCTATCCCAGGTATTCCTTAAAGAGGTGGGGTTTCAAATGTCTCCGGAAGGTGGTGAGTGACTCCGCTGTCCTGGCGTCGTGAGGGAGCTTGTTCCACCATTGGGGTGCCAGAGCAGCGAACAGTTTTGACTGGGCTGAGCGGGATATCATGTAAATGTGTATGTAAACTTCCGACTTCAACTGTATATAAAGCAGGCAGACCGGCATCGAGGCAATCAGTTACTGTTCGATTGAACGTTAGGTCACTCGTTTTGCCCATTCTAACCGACTTTGAGCATGGTATGATCATCGGTGCCAGCTGCGCCGGTTCCAGTATCTCAGAAATGGCCAGCCTCCTGGGCTTTTCACGCACAACAATGTCTAGGGTTTACCGAGAATGGTGCGACAAACAAAAAACATCCAGTCAATGGCAATCCTATGGACAAAAACATATTGTAGATTAGAGGTCAAAGGAGAATGTCAAGAATCGTGCAAGCTAACAGGCGGGCCACAAACAGGCAAATAACGGTACAGTACAAAAGTAGTGTGTAGAACAGCATCTCGGAATGCACAACTCATCAGTCCTTGCCACAGATGGGCTGTTGCAGCAGACGACCACACCGGGTTCCACTCCTATCAGCTAAAAACAGTGGGCATGCTTTCACTAACACTGGACAATTGAGGAGTGGAAAAACAGTGCCTGGTCCGACGAATCCCGGTTCCTGTTGCATCATGCTGATGGCAAAGTCAGGATTTGGCTTAAGCAGCATGAGTCCATGGCCCCATCCTGCCTGAAGTGAACGGTACAGGCTGGTGGCAGTGATATAATAGTGTGGGGAATGTTTTCCTGGCACACGTTAAGTCCCTTGATACCAATGTTTCCATGCCCCGAAGAATTCAGGCTGTTCTGGAGGCAAAGGGGGGTCCGACCTGGTACTAGATGGGTGTACCTAATAAACTATTTATATGACAAGTATCAGGAGACATAAGGGATAATAAAGAACTGTGGGAAACTTCAGAGGGCTTGGGGATCTGTGGATAATGACAGGACATCTAAGCTTTGGCCTTCCATCTTCAGCTTAGCTAATCAACGCCCCCCTCTCAGTGGATGTGTGAGTCTGTCCGTCTGTCTGTCAAGCTGAGAGGTGAATGTGACAACACTCTCCTTACATAGACAATGCTTGTGGACTATGGACAAAGAGGAAGTGCGCATTTCTTAAAAAATATATATTATAACAAACTAAACTTCCTCAAACCCCCACATCATTGGAGGTTATTCGTAAAACTTTACAGCTAAGGTAAAATCTAGAATTAGTTTTTTATATCTCCACATCTGAAACAAAGGGATACATAGGCTATCTAAATGTTTTCTATAATTGAGAAACTGGTTGGTACATTTACACTGGCGGTTAAGTTTTCTGAAGACCTCTTTTATCGATGTCTAGAATGGCTTTTCAAGACATTCATGTTCACATTCAACAGAGAAGGGATCAACAGAACTCAAATACGCTCTACTCTATGATGGAGACAATGGCTGCTTACCAAATGGCATCCTATTCTCTATATAGTGCACTACATATGGTAGGGAATAGGATGCCATTTGGGACACACACAATGACAGAGACAGGTATGTGTCAGAGCCATACTGCTCCGGTAGGTGTTAGCCGTTGTTGAAACATTTCTAGAGTGTCAAGTTCTTTGTACCCACACTATTCCCTCTTTGCCTTAAAGTACAAAGGAGAAGCATGTGGGGGAGACAATACATTCATATACAGTATGGGTGTACCACAAAACATATGGGGGTACACCTAATACATTCAAGGCAAGAGCAGCAAGCTGCAACAAAACAACCCCAGGTCATTCTCTGAACTTGTACATGATAATTTATGCTGTACATATATTTATTTAAAAAGTGAAAAATCATTTTCAGTTTGTATAAACATACAGTATGATTCAACAAGCGCCATTCTATCTTTGTCATGAAATTAACATAATTATTAATTGTTTCATCTAGTCCAATTGCACAAAATGTATTTCTGTAAAAAAATAAAAAAAATAAAAAAAATGAAAATATATTGTAAGGAAACACAAATACACATTTTATTGAACTGTGGTGTGTAGTATGTTTTGATTGTCTGATGAGTTGGTTTTCTTATTTGAAATCCACATTTTTGAATTGCTAGTTGGATTTTTGGAGTTGAATATTCTTGCCATCACAAAATACATATTTGGCACCTTATCATGTTCAACAAAAAGACAGGAAATGTAAAGGGTTCAAATTAGACCCAGAACACAAAAGTGACACAGGAAACTTGCAAAACAATTCAAATGCTCCTCTAATAGATACATTCTCAGATCCCTCAAAGACTTAGGGCTAGATTCTATCAGATTCGTGATAGCCGACACTCGCATAGTGGTTGTTTTGGCTGTGTTCCGGCATTATACCTAAAGGGGAGATTTCCATTGGCTGCATGGAGTCGCATTAAGAGAAATCCCATGCAGCCTTGTTTACAAGTTTGAACACTGGAATATGAGATGTAATCTACACCCCGATTAGGCTGATAGAAATCCTCATTATTTTGTTTAATGATTTTCATTTTGAGTGCCATTATTTCT